TATTTATTGCCAATTTATTGTTCATATATATATATATATATTTATCCTCAACGGAGGACATTTTTCCATTTTTTGTTCAGAGTGGGAGAGAGAGAGAGAGAAACATTGACATGAAAGGGACACATCGAGTGGCTGCCACCCACACAACCAACCAGGGCCAGGGACAAACTGCAGCCGAGGTACGCACCCTTAGCGGGATCTGAACCCAGGTCTCTTGGGACCGCCGGCCAACGCTCTAACCGCTGAGCCAAACCAGCCAGGGCAGATACATATATATATATTTTAATCCTCACCCAAGGATATTTTTCTGTTTATCTCCAAATATAGTGGGAGGGAGGGGGAGAGAGAGAGAGGGAGAGAGAGAAAGAGAAACATCAGCTTGAGAGGGACACATCAACTGGTTGCCTCCTGCACAACGTTGACCAGTGCCGGGGACAAACCGCAACCAAGGTATGTGCCCTTGACTGGAATCGAACCTGTGACTCTTTGGTCTGTGGGCCAATGTTCTAACTGCTGAGCCAAACCAGCCAGGGCTATTGTTCATGTTTTTTATCTGTTTTTGTTTTTTTTTCTCCTTAAAGAAGACTCTTTAACTTTTCATGCAATGCAGGTTTGGTGGTGATGAATTCCTGTAGCTTTTTCTTGTCTGGGAAACTATACACAGTATGTCCCTTGATTCTAAATTATAGCTTTGCTGAAAGAGTAATCTTGGTTGTAGGTCCTTACTTTTCATCACATTGAAGATTTGCCAGTCTATTCTGGCCTGCAAAATTTCTGTTAAGAAATCAGCTAACAGCCTTATAGGAGCTCTCTTGTAGGTAATGAACTGCTTTTCTCTTGCTGCTTTTAAGATTCTCTTTTTGTCTTTAACCTTTGGGATTTTAATTATGATGTGTCTTAGTGTGGGCCTCTTTGAGTTCATCTTGTTTAGGATTCTGCACTTCCTGGACTTGTGTGTGTATTTCCTTCACCTGATTAGGGAAATTTTCTGTCATAATTTTTTAGGTAGGTTTTCAATTTCTTACTCTCTTTTCTCCTTCCAGTACTCCCATGATGCAAATGTTGGTATGCCTCTGGGGAGGCTCCTTACACTGTCTTCATATTTCTGGATTCCTTTTTACTTTTGCTGTTCTAATTGGGTGTTTTATACTTCATTATATTCCAAATCGCTGCTTTGATTCTCAGCTTTATCTACTCTACTGTTGACTCCCTGTAAATTATTCTTCATTTCAGGTAGTGTATCCTTCATTTCTGATTGGTTCTTTTTTATGGTTTCCATGTTCATATTTATGCTTTTTGAAGTTCTCTTTTTTTTTTAATCCTCATCCGAGGACATTTTTCCATTTTTTGTACAGACAGAGTGGGAAGGAGAGAGAGGAAGAGAGAGAGAGGGAAACATCGATGTGAAAGGGACACATCGAGTGGCTGCCACCCGCACGACCAACCAGGGCCGGGGACAAACTGCAACCGAGGTACATGCCCTTAGCGGGAACCGAACCCGGGTCTCTCTGGACCACAGGCAGACGCTCTAACCGCTGAGCCAAACTGGCCAGGGCTGAAGTTCTCTTAAGTTCATCTACTCTTTCCCTAAGTTCATTGATCATCCTTGTAAGTGGTGTTTTGAACCCTGCATCTAGTAGATTGCTTGTCTCTATTTTGTTTAGTTCTGTTTCTGGAGTTTTGTTCTGTTCTTTTATTTGAGATGTTTTTCTTTGTCTTCTAGTTTTGCAGCTTCCCTGTGTTTGTCTCCATGTATTAGGTACAACTGCTGTGTCTCCCAGGCTTGGTAGAGTGGCCTAATGTAGTAGGTGTCCGGTAGGGTCAAGTGGCACAGCCTCCCAGATCATCCAAGCTGGGCACTCCAGATGCATGCCTCCCCCCCACACCCCCCCTATACATCCCCTCCTGTATTTTAGCCTTGATTGTTGTTGGCATGTCAGTGGGAGGGATTTATCCATGGAGGATCATCTGTGCAAGAGCCCACCCCAAAGAGCAGGGCTTAACTTTGGCAGGGCTCTGGTGCTTGTTGAGTCTGCCCGAGTGTGTCTTCGTGGAGGTGGTTGGGTGCTTCTTCAATGTGGTATGAAGCTGTTAACTGGGTGCGCTGGCTCTGGGTCCTCCTGAGAGGTGAAGGTCAAGGTCATCTGCCACCTGTGTGCTGCCCAGGGCCACCCAGCATGAGCTTCAAAGTGATCTGCAGATGGCTGTTACTTGTGCTGGGCTTGGAGTTGCCCCAGCGAGGCCAAACTGTGAACCAAGGCCGGCTGCTTCTAGTTCTGGGTCTGGGGTCACTTACCAAGAGGTGTGGGACATGCTGAGGCAAGGTGCTGCTTGTTTGAGATATTTTAGGAAAGTCTTAGTTGTAAGCCGAGACAGGCCATTAGTATGGAAAGCCACTGGAAACAGTTTGCATGGTCCTGCAACTTGGGTGGGGCAGACTGTCGGAATCACCAGGGTGGGGCAAACTGTGTGTGCCAGGTTGATGGAATCTGAAATATGGTATTCCTCTGCTGGCTTTGGGGTGGGAGGTTCATCAAAGGAACAATGGCCTCTGCCAGCACTTTTGTCTGGGAGAAATCTGCCCCCAGCTCACCCTGATGCCAACCACTTCAGTTCCTCTCTGTATGTCCCTGGTGCCTTTCAAGCTGCTGTTCCAGCACTAGAGCTCAAAAAGAGTGAGTCAGAGTAAGTCTGTGTACAGGTCCTTTAAAAGGAACTTCTTGGAACTCCTGCAGCCCTCTGTCTCACTCATCCTCAATTCCCACTGATTTTTACAGCCAGAAGTTATGGGGACTGCTCTTTTTAGCACTGGAACCCTGGGATGCGGACCCTGGTCTGGGGCTGGGATCCCTTGCTCCTCAAGGGGAACCTCTGCAGCCAAGATATCCCTCCCGATTTTTATCCTCCACATGTGGGTGTGGAACCAGTCTGTTCTGCATATTGGCCCGTCATATCAGTCTTAATGTGGTTTCTTCTTTAAATTCCAGTTGTAGGACTTCTATTCAGCTAGATTTCAGGTGGTTCTAAATGATGATTGCTTTGTAATTTAGTTGTAATTTTGATGTGGTTGTGGGAAGATGCGAGTACCTCCTTTACTTATATTGCTATCTTGACCAGAAGCTGGTTGTAAATATTTTTAAAAAATCAGTTTTGGCTCTGGCTGGTTTGGCTCAGCGGTTAGAACATTGGCCTGAGGACCAAGAGTCTCAGGTTTGATCCCGGTCAGGGGTACATACTGACAAACCTCAGAAGAGGGGGTCGGGAGGGAAGAGATAAACCATAGAACTTACAAGCATGTATGCGTAATCATGGACATAGACAACAATGCTGGGGGCAGGGAGCGGATCAGAAGGAGGGTGTCAGTGGGGGAAAAGAAACATCTGAAACAAAAATTAATAAAAAATATATATATATATCGTCAGGCGAAGATTAAAAAAAACCCAGCTTTTTATAGTGAAGGTTTTTTGAAAACTGGAAATGTATTTTTCTGTGTCTCTGATCCCCACAAGGTCAGAGAGGGGGTATGGTCCAGTGCTGTATCCTAAACAACGATCATATGATAGGAAGCATTATGTGCTTATTTTAGAAAATCTGATAAATACTGAAAAGAATAAAGAAGAAAAAGTCAACCATAAACTCACCCTACAGATAATCATTGTTTAGGATGTAAAAAAAATATTTACACCTTGTTACCTTCTACACATATTTTAAGAGAGCTGAACTTTTTATATGTACAATTTTGTGCCTTTCCTTTAATATACCAGGGTTTCTTGACAATGGCAGTAAATTTTAGGTCGGTTAAGTCTTTGTTGTGGATGGCTGCCCTTTGGGTTGGCAGCATTCCTGACCTCTACTCACTAGATGCCAGTTGCATTTTCCCTCATGTTGTGACAACCAAAAATGTCTTCAGATGTTGCTAGATGTTCCCTAGGGATGGGAGTGGGGGAGCAAACTTGCTCCAGATTAAGAACTACTGTTTTGTTTTGTTTTTTTAAATTTTTTTTCTTTATTTATTCTTAGAGAGAGGGGAAGGGAGAGAGAGAGAGAGAGAAACATTGATGAGAGAGAACATCAATTGGACTCCTCCTGCATGCCCCACTCTGGGGATTTGGCCCACAACTTGGGCATGTGGCCTGACCAGGAATTGAACCGGTGACCTCTTGGTGCATGGGTCAGTGCTCAACCACAGCCAGGCAAGAACTACTGTTTTATACTTAGTATTACAACATACGCACTTTCTCATTCTGTTACAAACTTCGTAAGTACAATCTTTAGTGGCTGCATACTTTTTCTACTATATATGTCATCTTCAGTCTTAATTTGGAGTGTGGCCTTGGCCGTCATTAGTCCTATAGCTTTGCAAAATTATTCTGTGACTAGGTAAGTATATCCTGTAATTTACTGATAGTAAATTTTTTTAAATTATGTTAAACACAAAATTTACCATTTTAACCATATTCAAGTATACAGTTCAGTGGTGGTAAGTATATTCACATTGCTATGCAACAAATCTTCATACTGATAGGAGTATTTACTAGTAAAATGCTGTAAGTAATGGTTTCTGGTTTTGTTTTGTTTTTTTCTTTCTCTTTTTTAATTCCTTACCCAAGGATATTTTTCCACTTATTATCAGATAGAGTGGGAGGGAGAGAGAGAGAAAAAAAGAGAAAAACATCTATGTGATAGAGCCACATCAATTGGTTGCCTCCCACGTGACCCGACCAGGGACGAACTGCAACTGAGGTATGTGTCCTTGACTGGAATCGAACCCGCGACTAATTGGTTCATGTGCCAACGCTCTAACTGCTGATCCAAACTGGCCAGGGCTTTGTTTTTTTATTTTCATTAAAAAACTTGACCTTTAAGATATGTTTTGTTAAAGAACATGAGAAATCATGGGTTTTTAAAAAGTATTGCAAGCATTACATGAATGTGTTACAAAATAAGTTCAAACTTAATTTATATAATACTTTTATAAAATGTTTTATGTCATGTTATAGATACCACTGTTTGGAATCATGTCATCAGATTCTGCAGATCCTTTCTATTGGATGAGAGTGATTCTTGCATCCAACAGAGGTATGTACTTTTCTTTTGCCTCCAAACTAGTACTGGCATCAAATACATCTGACATTGTGGAAACTATTTTTTGAATCCACAAGGAGTGGAAGAATATGATAAAAGAAACTCATTGCCTGGAAGAAGAGGCCAATATGTAAATAATAGAACCATGTGTTTTGTTTATTCTAATTATAGAAATATATTACAGTAGTATTGAGGTACACAGAGAATGGAGTGATTAGAACTGCTTTGATTTTCAACCCTTTTACAGATTCTCTATTTTTTTTCCCTCTTTTTTTTTTATCCTCAGCCGAGGACATTTTTGCATTTATCTTGAGATAGAGCAGGAGGGAAAGAGGGAGGAAGAGAGAGAAACATCGATGTGAAAGAGACACATCGATTGGTTGCCACCCACACGATCCCAGCCGGTGCCGGGGACAAACCACAACCGAGGTACGAGGTACGTGCCCTTAGCGGGAACCGAATCCTGGCCTCTCTGGTCTGTGGGCCGACACTCCAACCACTGAGACTAACCATCCAGGGCTCTATGTAATTTTTGATAGTGCGTTATAAGATTCACAAATCTTTTAAAATTAATAACATTTTTTAGCTTAATATGTAATTTCTAGGCTTGATATGTACTTTTTTATTTTGCATTAAAATAAAAATATTTGCGTAAGTTTTAAAGTAATGATTTGGACAAGTTTTATTTCAACAGATTTCTTTAACATTTTAAGTTTAGAATTTACAGAAATTTGTATCTTTATAGTATTTCTAGTAATTTTTAATGCTTTGTTGCAAGGTTGTCTTAATAAGAATGAAAATTTGCTTGTTAACATTTAAGCTTGTATTTTCATAGATGTAATTAAGGACTGGGACTCTTCTAAAGTAATCTGCATTGTATATAGTAAAGATTATTTACTTTCCTCTTCCTTTACAGGAACTTTAATGGAATTGGGTATCTCCCCAATTGTAACATCTGGTTTGATTATGCAGTTGTTAGCTGGAGCCAAAATCATTGAAGTTGGAGATACACCCAAAGATAGAGCTCTATTCAATGGAGCCCAGAAATGTGAGCATTAATACAGTTAAAGAGTCTTTTCAGATTTGGAAATTTTGTGGTAAAGATGTTTTTCTATAGTCTTTTATGTCTGTGGTTGTAACATGTACTCCTTTCCCTCAATTTTTGTCAGTATTTGGTATGATCATTACCATTGGGCAAGCCATTGTATATGTCATGACGGGCATGTATGGGGATCCTGCTGAAATGGGTGCTGGAATCTGTCTCCTTATCATTATTCAGGTGAGAAATCCTATTTTTTATATGCAGATAACAAAATAGTTTTATTCTTTTTTTGAAACAATTCTTAGGTTGATTGATATATTCATTTTTTACTTTTGAATTATAGAGTATTTTGATAATTGAAGTGACATGTATCAATTGTGCTGAAAATATAGACTTTATTCTAATAGACTCATAGTTGCATAATATAATGAGTTATGGATCAGTTGTAGTTCATAGATTCTAAGACACACATTTTTCGCACTTTGATGTTACGGAAATCAGGATGTTTTCTTACCGTTGATAGTGTTTTACAGTTACTGTCAGCCAAGTGGTGGTCATGATGGTTGTCTTTTCCTGCATGTGTGTGAACTTGATCATAGCTGTTCATATCTTCATATCAGTTTTTAATATTTACTTTAATTGCTTTTTACAATGTCTTCCAAAACTGCTGTGATTGGTTTACTGAAATGAAAAGTGATTGTGTATACACAAAGGCGCAGAAAGAGCAAGCTAGATAATAAACATCTAAATCTAAAGTAACTTTTTTTATAAGTAGAAAATCAAATTTTTTTGTAATAAGTTGTGTCATAGCTTAATTAGCAGTTTGTTTTTCTTTCTTAGTGGTACACACAATAATGGCATTAAAAATAATATCTTTGAATCAATGAAATACTATCTAAATACCCATACATATATTCTATAACTTTTAAAATGGAAGCTTTGGAACAGAATTTTTGAAGGCCAACATTATTATTCCTCTGCTAAGTATCTTAAAGTCTGTAAAGTTTAGCTCTGGACGGTTTGGCTCAGCTCAGCAGTTAGAGCGTCAGCTTGCGGACCAGACCAAAGAGTCGTGGGTTTGATTCCAGTCAAGGACACGTACCTCGGTTGCCCTTTTGGTCTCTGGCCCTGGTTGGGGTCGTGCAGGAGGCAACCAATCGATGTCTCTCTCTCACATTGATGATTCTTTCTCTCTCTCTCTCTCTCCCACTCTATCTGAAAAGAAATGCAAAAATATCCTCAGGTGAGAATTAAAAAATAAAATAAAATGCCTGCTTCTAAAGGGCTTTCTTTAAAAAAAAAAAAAAAGTGTGTAAAGTTTGGTAGATGTTTCTGTAGTGTACAATCCTTAAAAATCACTTAAGAGAAGTGGCTCAAGAATGGATTATACTTAAATTATATAGTTATTTATTGAATTTTGAAAAGAAGTTTATTTAAATTAAACACTGGACATCTAGAGTTCTGCTTATCTTGGAAATGTCTTCTCTTGCTCACTCTATGAAATTAGAATTAAGTCAGGAAATTTTCTTTAATGGTCAAAAGGATTAAGATTAGAAATGAAAATACTAGTTTAGTAGTATATGTATTAAGAAATCTGACCATCTCAGGCTGGTATGGCTGACCATTCTTTGTTAAATAAGAAACCTTATTTAGGAAGCAGATCATTGTAGGAACATCGTTTAGTGAACATGATTCAGAACAAGGAGAGTTAGATTGCTCAGATATTTATTGGCATCATTAACAATCGGGAGGGCAAGCAGAAGAGGAAGTCAGAGACATTTGAAGCATGAGAAAAACTTGACTTGCCCTTGCTGCCATGAAAATGGAGGAGGCCACATGAGAAAGAATGCAGGTGGCTTCCAGGAATTGAGAGTAGTCATTGGATGACAGCCAGGGAGGTAACAGGTACGTCAGACCTACAGTCAACAAGGAACTGAATTCTGACTTCATTCTGAATGAGCTTGAGGTGGATTTTTCTCTAGACCAGCGGTTCTCAACCTTCTTAATTCCACGACCCTTGAATACAGTTCCTCATATTGTATGTAGGCATATCTGCATGTGGGCGGACCCGCCTGGAGACAGATAGAGGAGCAGTGTCTCAGTTCCTAAGATCATTGGAAATATGTGTTTACCAATGGTCTTAGGCGACCCCTGTGAAAGGGTCATTCGACCCTCAAAGGTGTCGTGATCCACAGGTTGAGAGCCGCTGCCCTAGACCATCTAGATGAGAGCCCAGGCTAACTGATGCTTTTATTTCATCCTTGGGAGACAAAGCAAAGAACCCAGTCAAGCTTATTCAGGCTTCTGACCTACAGAATTGAGCTAATAAATTTAGATTGTTTTAAGCTGTTAAAGCAAACAAACAGAAAAACAATTGGGAGGACTTTTCTACTGAGATGGAAATATTTTGTCACTGGACAGGGGAGAAATTTTTAATGGATAATCTGAGTCTTTGGTAGTGTTCTGAGCCCCTGTGTGTTCCCATTTGGTATAAAGTACATTTCTTTAGAGAATAACATTGTTGCCCAGCTGGTGTGGCTCAGTGGATTGAAGGTCATTCCTTGAACTGAGAGGTCCCAGTTTGATTTCTGGTCAGGGCACATGCCTGGGTTGCAGGCTTGATCCCCAGTAGGGGGCATGCAGGGGGCAGCTGATGGGTGTAGCTCTTTCACATGGATGCTTCTCTCTCTCTCTTTTTTAAAAAAAAATCAATAAAAACATATTTAAGCTTGGCTGGTGTGGCTCAGCGGTTGAGTGTCGACCCATGCACCAAGACAACGTTGGTTTGATTCCCGGTCAGGACACATGCCAAGGTTGTGGGCCTGATCCCCAGTGGGGGGCATGCGGGAGGCGGCCAATTGATGTTCTCTTTCATCGATGTTTCTATCTCTCTTTCCCTCTCCCTTCTTCTCTCTAAAATCAATAAAGAAAAAAAAATTTAAAGAAAAAAACAAATAAAAAATATTCCATTAAAAAAAAAGAATAACATTGTCATTATTTCTTCATTTAAAGAACACTTGATTGGCAAATTTATAGCTCTTGGAAATTAGAGGAAGAAGAGTTGGAATGGATGGGAAAAGAAGATCGTTTGAAAACTGAATTTGATATCTTTCAGTGCTTAAAATATCTTCATGTTCTTTTGGCATTGTTGAGGATACTGATATACTAATTGTTGCTTTATGTTTTGTTTTATTTTTTAGCATTTGCTTCATGTAACCCATAGTTTAGAATGACCCTGATTTTTTTTTTTTTTTTTTAATCCTCACCCAAGGACACTTTTGCATTCATCTTCAGATATAGTGAGAGGGAGAGAGGGAAGAAGAGAAAGAGAGAGAGAAATATCTATGTGAGAGAGACCCATCAACTGGCTGCCACCCACATGACCCCAACTGGGGCAAGGGATAAACTGCAACTGAGGTACATACCCCTAGCAGGAACCTAACCCACGACTCTCTGGTCCACAGGCAGACGCTCTAACTGCTGAGTCAAACCAGCCAGGGCGAATGACCCTGATTTTTAAAAGATACTCAGAATCAGCATCTAGCTCTTAATATTATGCAACAGTAAAATTTTTCCAGTATTTTACTAAGGCTAGATTTAGACATCTACAGAATCTCAGCTGAGCAGTTCTGGGTTAGATCAAGTATGATTGACTTGATCTAGTATTGACTTGAGTTAGTTATAGATTTAAATTTATATAAAATGGAATTAAACTATTTTAAGTATTTTTTCAGTATTACAAATCCAGGGATAGTTACAGTCTAGGAATGAAACAAGTGAAACGAATATATATTAATTTGTTTACATACATTCTTTTGTACAAGTGTTTGAGTTATTGTAAATTTTTCTAATGTTAATGTAAAGAGAAATATTTTTAATTTAATCAGGGGTGGGTAATGACCCATTTGCATCTTTTTAAGGCATTGCCAACATTGAAAATGGGTAGGTACGTGGAAGAGATGAGATTGGATCAGTGTGTTTTTATGTAGAAACAAGTTTTAAAAACTGCATGTTTTTTTTTTTTTTTAATCCTTACCTGAGGACATTTTTTCCATTTTTTTGTTCAGATAGAGTGGGAGGGAGAGAGAGAGAAAGAGAAACATCGACGTGAAAGGGACACATCGAGTGGTTGCCACCCGCACAACCCAACAAGGGCCGGGGACAAACTGCAACCCAGGTACATGCCCTTAGCGGGAACCGAACCCGGGTCTCTGGACTGTAGGCCAACACTCTTACCACTGAGCCAAACTGGCCAGGGCTGCATGTTCTTATGTAAGGTATTTCTCACCTTAATTCTTGTTTTATTCACATGGTCATTGTCTTTCAACTAGTGAGTTTTGAAATCTGAATAGTGGGTCTTGATTAAAATAAAAAAAATTGAAACTTTCAGTGCGCATGGCTCATTGTAAAGGTAAGTATTATTTTGTCAAATTAAATTGTGTCTGCGTGTGCATGGATATGTAGGGTTGAAATGTATGTTAGTTTTATGCCTGACTTAGCAATTTATATAGATTGTACATTCTACAAAAGCATGCAGGTAGTATTCAGTTCTTTTCACTGTTCTAGTCAGTGAGATGCTGTAACTTCCTGGTGTCTAATTCTTTTCATAGGCATGTATACTTTTTACCATCTTTTATCTTGTTTCTTTTTTTTAATCCTCACCCGAGGATATTTTTACATTTATCTTCAGACAGAGTGGGAGGGAGAGAGAGAGGGAGAGGGAAATATCGATGTGAGAGAGACACATCGGTTAGTTGCCATCTGCACGACCCCAACCGGGACCGGGGATGAACCAAAACTGAGGCACGTGCCCTTGGCCAGAATCAAACCCAGGACTCCTTGGTCTGCAGGCCGACATTCTAACTGCTGATCCAAACCGGCCAGGACTTATCTTTTTTCTTTAATTATAGAAATCATTTCTCATTTAGGTTTCTCTGTAATTCCTTTCTCCAGTTAGAAAAATTAGTATGAGTTTCATTGGATATATACAAATCACTTTATAATCTGATGGACATTGGTTTGAACAGGTGGTTTGGAGAATTACGGTTGATTCAGAGTTGCCCATGTGATTCTGGACAAGTCATTTAATCAGTCATTTAGTCAGAAGTCCATGATAATACTTTTTGGTTGGCTGATAGTTTGTGGACAACTATTGTCCCCTGCACACAGGCTTGGGTTTCTGTGTGATTGGGAGTATTTATTTATTACATAAATGTGGTCAAAATAAAATCTCACTATATCAAAATATCAAACAGTAAAGTATTCATGAACTCACTTAGAAGTTTTGAGAATTGTACTCTTTTTCTAGTCCCTTGAAAGTCAAACTAAAAGATTGTCACAATAGACAAGTTAGGCTCTGTACAACCATTGAAATGACAGCTAAGGAAATAAAACAAAAAACCGTGTGTAAGGTAAGCATGCTTAATATGGTATTCTGTAGTTTGCTCTCTCTGCTAATGGATTATCAGGGAAACTGAGTAAGTAATGAAGGGGGATGCTTCAGAGCTGGGGGGAATGGAAATGGCATTTCCTTACTTCTGTAGGAGGGTGTCTTTGGAGTGGGGACAGGCGTGGGATTGGGCGTGTAGAAGTGTATTTTCTTCCTTGCTTGATTAGGTTACTGAGGTGCAGGCAAGGAGTCATATGACCAAAGTCACTTTGAAGTCTAGGACTTATTTATTTATTTATTTTAATCCTCATCCGAGGATATTTTTCCATTTTTTGTACAGACAGAGTGGGAGGGAGAGAGAGGAAGAGAGAGAGAGGGAAACATCGATGTGAAAGGGACACATCGAGTGGCTGCCACCCACACGACCAACCAGGGCCGGGAACAAACTGCAACCGAGGCACATGCCCTTAGCGGGAACTGAACCCGGGTCTCTCCGGACCGCAGGTGGACGCTCTAACCGCTGAGCCAAACTGGCCAGGGCAGGACTTATTTTTAATAGGTGCATGCTTTTACAGAAATGCCTTATCCAAGAGGGAAAATTAAGAATTTTCAATTTCACATAAGTTAAAGTTAGTATGCTTTCATTTTAGGTTTCTTTGTTTTTGTTTTTTTTTTAATCCTCACCCGAGGACATTTTTCCATTTTTTATTCAGATAGAGCAGGAAGGAGAAAGAGGAAGAGAGAGAAACATCGACATGAAAGAAACACATCGAGTGGCTGCCACCCGCACCACCCAACCAGGGCTGGGGACAAACTGCAACCGAGGTACATGCCCTTAGCTGGAAGTGAACCCGGGCCTCTCCAGACCACAGGGCAGTGCTCTAACCACTGAGCAAACCAGCCACGGCATTTTTTTTTTTTTTTAATATCCTCACCTGAGAATATTTTTGCATTTATCTTCAGGTAGAGAGAGGGAGAGAAAGGAGGAGAGAGAGAGAGAGGGGAAGAGAGAGAGAGAGACATCACTGTGAGAGGGACACATTGACTGGGTGCTTCCCGCACGACCCCGACCAGGGCCAGGGATGAACCACAACCGAGGTACGTGCCCTTGGCTGGAATCAATTCTGGGACTCACTGGTCCATGCTACTGCTGAACCAAACTGGCCATGACAGTATGCTTTCATTTTTTAAAAAAATTTTGAACTTAGGAACTTGTGAACTCTTAACTGTCTTCAAATTTACACTTAATTGCTGTCACTATATGTATAGAATTCATTTTTACATTGTTATAATCTGTGTACATATTACTTTGTGCTCTATTTTTTACTTATTCTATAGATACATAACATACATACACAATATATACAATATTATATATAATATTTTTAAAATGTGTCAACATAGCTCACATACTTTTTGTCTCATGGCAATGTGCAATTGCATTTTGTTATACCATGGTCCATTTGGCCTTTCACTTATTTCGCATTATCTGTGAGATACTCAGTTATTTGCTGTCATAAATTCTACAGCTGTGAACATTTTTGTTTTATAGTGTTCTTACCAGTAAGCCTTATTTAAGGAAATAAGTCTTATTTCCCTTACTGTAAGGAAAACTCTCCAGATGGTAACGTCTATTCAAAAGTTGAAATGTCTACTATATAATATAGCAATATTTCCAATCATCTGATTTTCAGAATTAGCATCTGACTAAACTAAAGCAAGTTAAAAGATGCAGAATCACAATAGTGATATTACAACCATTAGGTTTGAATGTTAGACATGCCCATACTTTGAAAGTAGTCACTGGAGCTTGTCCTTCCCTTTCTTGAGTTTTTCTTGCTTCTGCTTACTTGCATTTCTTTCCCCACAGTTGTTTGTTGCTGGTTTGATTGTGCTGCTGTTAGATGAGCTGCTACAGAAGGGTTACGGCCTGGGGTCTGGTATTTCCCTCTTTATTGCCACCAACATCTGTGAAACCATTGTCTGGAAGGCCTTTAGTCCCACTACTATTAACACTGGCAGAGGTACATCACACAGTGACTGCGACTGCACGAGTGTTGCTGGATGGGTGTTGAAAAGTAACCTGTAATGGAGCAATACATGCTTGTAGACATCTGGGTTTGCTGTTCCAGCGGACAATTGATGCTAATTGTTCAAAAGTTAATAAGAAGAGCTTTTTGGAGTATGAAGTAGTACTTCAAAAAGAGTATCCAAATTACAGCCTCTGGTCATTTAAAATTTCCATGGTTGAAAACATTTCCAAATGTTTATTTGCTTAAGCTGTTGCTACAGAACTCATCAATTTGACCAATTTCAGGGGGATCAAAAGGTAGTGGATTAAGATTTTTCAGATGAAAAAACTGTTAAGTCTTTGTATCATCAGGGAACACTAATAACTTTTGCATCTATCCTTGTCTTGGTAATAGCACCTAAATTTTGAAATATTTTTCCCCTTACCCATCTCCACTTCTCTCATGTGCCATCCTAGAATTGTCATGGTTAACATCTAAACTGACCCCAGCCTTAAGAAAATAGCAACAATGATTTATTAATGTTCCTGGTAAAGTAAACGGAAAGGCAAGCTTGATAGAGTAACATGGATCTTTTGAATCTGCCCTCTTTGCTTTGCTGCCGCCACCCTCCCCTTCCCCCCAGTTCTTGCTTCCCGTTTGGAAAGTAAAGGAGAAGCAAAGTATTATGAACTCAATATTTGTTTGATTTATTCTACTTTGGTTGTTTTCATCAAGAATAGTCTTTTGAGAAAACTTCAAATTTATGCTAAAAACATACATTTTGCCTCAATGAACTAAATATTTTTAGAAGCTCTACATATGGCTATATCATAAATACTGATGAATTATTTGGACTTATATTTTCTGCTGTGTATGGAGTTTCAGGGTTATTTGTTTTGACTTTTGGGACAACTTTGAGTGCTACATCTACAGTTAGTTAATTTTTCTCTTGGTTTATCAGGTACTGAATTTGAGGGTGCTGTCATAGCTCTCTTTCATTTACTGGCCACCAGGACCGACAAAGTCCGAGCTTTAAGGGAGGCGTTCTATCGTCAGAACTTACCCAATCTCATGAACCTCATTGCTACCGTCTTTGTGTTTGCTGTTGTTATATATTTTCAGGTAAGTATACTCTCTTTGCTGAAATAGGTGGGATGTGGATTTTTATTTTGCTCTTAAAGAGAAGAATGCTGTTTGAAATGTTAGTATCTAGTAAGTCATTGTTTCAAAATCTAGTCCAGCAAATAATTCCTTTCTTTAGACACTGAGGTGTAAATAAAAAAATAGGACGAAATGAAATAGAAAAGGGCTTCTGTTTGTATGTCTCTGTGAGGAAGGGTTAAGTTTTATTAGCATTATCCCTGCTGTTACTGTTTTGGCTCTCTGTATTCTTTACGTTATACACACAGTTCCTCTTACCCTTAATTTTCACTTTTTAGGGATTTCGTGTTGACCTGCCCATTAAGTCTGCCCGGTATCGAGGACAGTACAGCAGCTACCCCATCAAGCTCTTCTACACCTCAAACATCCCCATTATTCTTCAGTCGGCCTTAGTGTCAAACCTCTATGTTATTTCCCAGATGCTGTCTGTTCGATTCAGTGGCAACTTCTTAGTTAATTTACTAGGACAGTGGGCAGTGAGTATTTTGTTATTTATTCTGAGTGTTTAAATTTATTGTAATTTGCATTTCATGGTTATATTTTTAAAAGAAAGAGATGAGCGATAATTGAAGCAGTTGCTATAACATTTTCACATCCCATTTGAGTGATCTTTTAGGCTAAAATCACAGTGTCTCTCATTATTCTGTTCTGTAATCTTATTCCACTAATGTCTAGAACAGTGGTTCTCAACCTGTGGGTTGTGACCCCTTTGGGGGTCGAATGACCCTTTCACAGGGGTCGCCTAAGACATAACAGTAGCAAAATTACAGTTATGAAGTAGCAACGAAAATAATTTTATGGTTTGGGGTCACCACAACATGAGGAACTATATTTAAAGGTTTGTGGCATTAGGAAGGTTGAGAACCACTGGTCTAGAATAATGTTTTTTTAAAAAGAAGCTATTTGTTGATAACATATGGAATACAGAAATCATCCTTCCCTGTTTCCTTCTGTTTTTCATGGACTAAATGGCAATAAACTAGTTTGTGATTAACTAGGCTGGAGACAGGCATGCAATTACTAGACTGAAGAGAGAACAGAGTTGCTAGAAATAGAATACAGTAAATTCTGACTTCCTTTTATTGGTCCTTGTTATCATAGCTTCTTTTAAAGCAGTCCAGCCACATTGTTATCGAAGTGTTTCTGTAGGATTGAACTTTGTTTTTTAATGTTTTTTCTTTATTGATTTTAGAGAGAGAGAGGAAGGAAGAGAGAGAGAGAAACATCGATGAGAGAGATCTTTGATTGGCCATCTCCTGCATGTCCCCCACTGGGGATTTGGCCCACAATCTGAGCATGTGCCCTGACCTGGAATCAAACTGGTGACCTCTTGGTACATGACTCAACCTCTGAGCCACACCAGCCAGGCTAAAAATGAAATTTTGATTGGTTTAAATTCTATCACCTGACCAAAAAGTATTTTTCTCCCTTAAAACTATAGAATTTAAAAATACTAAAATCCTTTATTCTTTTGCAGAGTGTGTAATTCTAGAATTTGTATTGCACTAAAGAATATTATAATATTTATTTATTTAATCCTCACCCGAGGACATTTTTGCATTTATCTTTAGATAGAGCAGGAGAAAGAGAGGGAGGAAGAGAGAGAGAGGAAGAGAGAGAGAGAAAAATCGACGTGAGAGAGACACACCAACCGGTTGCCTCCCACACAACCCCAACCGGGGCTGGGGACAAACTGCAACCAAGGTACGCGCCCCTAGTGGGAACCGAACCTGGGTCTCTCTGGTCTGCGGGCCAACTCTCTAACTCTCGAGCCAACCCTGCTAGGGCAAGAATATATATTTTTTTAGTCATACTGAAATGTGCTGCTTCTGTGCATTTGTCTTAATATGCTATCTTTTACATTATAAGTTATAGTAAACTGATATATTTCTGTTTTTACTGAAGATAATTTTTATTAAATTTTTTTTTATAGATTTTTCTCCATTTTTCCTCCATTGACACCCTCCTCCCGTTCCCACAGCCCCTCTCCCCTGAGTATTATTGTCTATGTCCATTGATTATGCTTATATGCATAAGTTCTTTGGTTTATCTCTTCCCGCTCCCCCGCCCCTCCTCTTCTACTGAAGGTAATTTTTAAAAGAGTTTAAAGTTTAACAGGATAAGCAGTGACCCTTTTTTTTTTATCCTCACCCGAGGACATTTTTCCATTTTTTGTACAGATAGAGTGGAGGGAGAGAGAGGAAGAGAGAGAGAGAGAGAAACATCGACGTGAAAGGGACACATCGAGTGGCTGCCACCCGCACGACCAACCTGGGCCAGGGACAAACTGCAACCAAGGTACATGCCCTTTAGCGGGAATTGAACCTGGGTCTCTCCGAACCGCAGGCCGACACTCTAACCAAACTGGCCAGGGCCCGAGGACATTTTTGCATCTATCTTCAGACAGAGCAGGCGGGAGAGAGGGAGGGAGAGAGAGAGAGAAACATCAATGTGAGAGAGATCGACTAGTTGCCACCCACACAACCCCAATGGGGCCAGGGCAAACCGCAACCAAGGTACGCACCCCCATTAGGAACCAAATCTGGGTCTCTCTGGTCCGCAGGTCGATGCTCCAACCACTGAGCCAAACCGGCCAGGGGTAAGCAGTGACTCTTGAATGTTAGTTGGAGGAAATAGGATTTACTTTATTTATAATACTTCTTTTCCATTCACTTATCAGAAACTTGATAACCTGTGATAGGGGAGGAATTTTTTTTCCCCTTGTGATGTAATAGTCCAGCAATAATTATTACTATAATAATTTCAAAGTAATAAATGCATCGAATGATTGTATAGAGAATGATTGTATAGAATATGTTGTGACCTTGACTAAGATTATCTTTTTAATGAGAGAATTGCTGGGTAATTGAATTTGTTGATAAGCAGTGCTTTTGATTTGCTAATAGTAATTCTAGAGGCACAGTAAAGGAATCATTTGGAAATTATAAATTCGGGAATCAGATATTTAATCATTGCAACTAGAAATTGCTTTCCCACATCCTGTTTAATTAATATGAGGAAATACTTGCTGTTCCCTTTCCTGTTTCTATAAAAATTATTAAATATTCATGTGGATAAAAATCCCATTGTATGTATTTATTAAAAGACTCTAATATACAAGCAAGATAAAGCTTAGGCAGTGAGTTGTTAGACTTCCGTCAATATTTCAATTGACTGCATTCTTTTTAAAAAATGTTCTTTCTTTATTGATATTAGAGAGAGAGGAAGGAAGAGGGAGCGAGAGAGAAAGAAACATTGATGAGAGAAAACATCGATTGGCTGCCTCCTGCATGCCCCCCACTGGGAATCCAACTGGCGACCTCTTGGTGCATGGGTCAACACTCAACCTCTGAGCTACACTGGCTGGGCAATTGACTGCATTCTTTTTTTTTATCATCCTCACCCGAGGACATTTTTCCACCTTTTGTTTTTAGGTAGAGTGGGAGGGAGAGAGAGGAAGAGAGAGAGAGAAACGTCGATGTGAAAGGGACACATCGAGTGGTCGCCACCCGCACAACCAACCAGGGCCGGGGACAAACTGCAACCGAGGCACGTGCCCTTAGCGGGAACCGAACCCGGGTCTCTCCGGACCACAGGCCGATGCTCTAACCGCTGAGCCAAACCGGCCAGGGCTTGACTGCATTCTTAATAGAATACTTTGAAATGAAAGAATCATGTGTAAGGGTCTTAATGTGTTACATATTTTTGTATAGTTCAGAAAACTTCATCTTCTTAATGTAATTGACTATAAATGTCATGTTTCTATCTTCAGGAAGGGAAGGAAGAGTCTTATAGATATATTATGTTTTTGTTTAATTCCTCACTTGATACTTCTATTTATCATCAGATAGAGTGGGAGGGAGGGAGAGAGAGAGATAGACAGAGAGAAACATCAATCTGATAGAGCCACATCGACTGGTTGCCTCCCGCATGACCTGACCAGGGCCGGGGGATGAACCGCAACTGAAGTACGAGCGTGCCCTTGACCAGAATCGAACCCGTGACTCATTGGTCCTCGGGCTGACGCTCTAACCGCTGAGCCAAACTGTGCAGGGCTATGTTTTGTGTTGTTTTTATCCTCACCCAAGGACATTTTTCCATTTTTTTTTGTTAAAATAGAGTGGGAGGGAGAGAGAGGAAGAGAGAGGGAGAGAAACATCGACGTGAAAGGGACACATCGAGTGGCTGCCACCCGCACAACCCAACCAGGGCTGGGGACAAACTGCAACTGAGGTGTGTGCCCTTAGCGGGAACCGAACCTGGGTCCCTCTGGACCACAGGCTGACGCTCTAACTGCTGAGCCAAACTGGCCAGGGCTATGTTTTGTTTTGTTTTTAATCTCTCTTTTATTAATAATATATTTGCATCTTTATGTAAGAGATGCTCACTATATAATTTTGAAGGACTGGAGATATTAGATACAAAAGCAAATCCTTAAGTTATATATAGCCATTAATTGTTGATGCTTTGAGCTTAAAATATTGTCATAATTTTTGAGGAGTTTGAAAAGTTATAAAAATATCTGCTGGACAAGTTAGGTTGGCCATTTGTTCTTTTGATTCTTGTTCTGTAGGATGTCAGTGGGGGAGGACCTGCTCGCTCTTACCCAGTGGGAGGCCTTTGTTACTATCTTTCTCCTCCTGAGTCCATGGGTGCCATATTTGAGGATCCTGTCCATGTGGTTGTTTATATCATCTTCATGCTGGGATCATGTGCATTCTTTTCTAAGACATGGATAGAGGTGTCTGGTTCCTCAGCCAAAGATGTAAGTATTTGGTTTATTCCAAAATAAAAATAATTTATAAATTTTAGGTGTCAAATCTTAATTACTTTTGTAATTTAAACTTTAATTCATACACTCTTAATGCAGTAATGTCACCCCCCGGTGGGTTAAATGTTGGTTCCTGGTAGGTGAAACATTTATAGATTTTGCAATGGTTTGTGACCTTCCAAAGCTCAACCCTACCTGCCAAAATCTTAGTCCTTAGTATTAATTTTTCTTAAAGGAGGTGATAGTGAAAAAGACTGAGAAACAGTGGTTTAATGAATGAGTAACATGGTTGTGCAGTATTGTAGTCTTAGTCTCCTCAGGTTTAATAGGAATGATATGATAGTTTCTACTTCAGGGTTCTTGTATCTTACTTATTAGTGTGTGGAAAGCACCTCACACAGAACCTGGTGTAGATAGTGAACAGTGAGATGTTAGAGTTTGATTTTAAAAGCTGTGTTTCTCTCAACAGGTAGCTAAACAGCTTAAAGAACAGCAAATGGTAATGAGGGGCCACAGAGATACCTCTATGGTTCATGAGCTTAATAGGTAAGGTCTTTAGATTTCATCCTTGTTGGCTGGGGGGTAAGGTGGGAGTGGGGGTGACGGGAAAGACATACTCAGTTTTTCAATCTTTCATTTGTTGCCAAATGTTATTCTTTGTTTAAATTCGTATTTGAAGCATTTCTGCTTCACACAAAAGGACCAAAATTTAACACAGAACTTAATTGTTCTCTACATCAAAATTACACCTAAATTATTTTAATTGGAATTTTGTTCCCCTTCACAGCTCAGCCAAGTGTTAAAATGTTGTAGATAGGAGGTTCTCATTGTTGGCTGGCTGTACATAAAATCACCTGGGTGCTTTTAAAATCTCTGATATCCCACCTGCAGGAATGGTGATTTGTTTGGTCTGGGGTGGGTCCCAGGCATCAGTTTTTTGATAACAGCTTTATTGGTTTAATTAACATAGTATGTAATTCACTCATTTTTGAAGTGTATGGTTTAGTGTTGTTTTTTTTTAGTATATTCAGTGGGTAATCATTACACAATAATTTAAAATTTTTTCATCACTCAGAAAGAAACCTTGTACCCATTAGTTATTTCTCATTCCAACCCCATTCTCCCTCCCTCCAGCCCTAGGCAAAAACTTTTCACCCTCTATCTCTATCGATTTACCTATTCTGGACATTTCATACACACAGAATCGTATATATGTTATCTTTTGTGAATAGCTCCTGTTACTTAGCTTAGTGTTTGTAGAGTCATCCATAATCTGTGAATATTATTCCATTGTATGGGTAATACCACATTTTGTTTATCTGTTCATTGGTTGATATTTGGGTTGTTTCCAGTTTTGGGCTATCTTGAATAATGCTGTTATGAACATACTGTAGAAGGTTTGTGTGGATGTGTTTTCATTTCTCTAGGAATGGAATTGTTGGGTCATAAGAGTAACTCTGTTTAACATGTTGAAGAACTGCCAATATCTTCCTGTACGTGTATGAAGGTTCCAGTCGCCATACATCCTCTCCGGCACTGGTTTTTGCTTTTTGATTAGTGTATAGCTACCTAGTGGGTACAAAGTGATTATCTTATTATTTTGATCTACTTTTCCTTGATTAGTAATGATGTTGAGCATCTTTTCATGTGTTTATCAGCCATTTGTTTGTTTTTGGAGAAATGTCTATTCAGATCTTTTGCTCCTTTCTAATTGGGTTGTATTTTTGTTACTGAGTTGTAACATTGTTTAAAAAATATTTTGGTAGTCTCATGTCATGTATCTTATTTGCAAATATTCTCTCATTCTCTGGGTTGCCTTTTCACTTTCTTGATGGTGCCTTTTGATGCATAAGTTTTTAATTTTTATTAAGTCCAATGTATCTGTTTTGTCTTTGGATGCTTTGTGCTCTGTTTGGTGTTATATCTAAGAAACCACTACTTAACCCAAGGTCACAAAGATTTATTCATTTTCTCTTAGGAGTCTCAGCTCTTACATTTCTGTCTATGATTCACTTTGAGCTAATTTTTGTGTTTGGTGCAAGATAGGCGTTCAGATTCCTTCTTTTGCATGTGGACATCCAATTATTCCATAATTATTTGTTGAAAAGGCACTAGTATTTATATTTAAATGTTGTTTACTGAGAACATAGATTGCAGAGAATAGTATAATGAATCTGCATGTACCCAAGTATATCCAGCTTCAGGAGTTACTATTCTGTCACTTTGTTTTATTTACCATGTCCCCCAAAGTTTTTATTTCTTTCTGGAGTATTTTAAATGCAATTCCATTAGTTCTAGCAGTTCTCCAGGTGATTCTAATGTGCAGCCAAGGTTGAATTACTATTGGAAGAGGATTATCCAGATATTGTCATATAAATATGATATTTAGAAATCATTTTGAAATTTACTGTTTAGCTCCTAGCTAAAGGTTATTCATTTTAAAATGATATTAAACATTTAAATACTTAAATCTAGTTGAGGATTCAAATCTGTCATCAAAATCATGTAGCCCCTTTCTTGGATATTTACTGGTTTCTCAAAACCAGGGCGTTAAGTCTTCAGCACTGCAGACTGTTCCATTGGATTAGAGTAATCACACATCATATTACTGCTTCTGTCCCCCTTTTCAGTTCCCTCTGCTGCCTGACTTGGTTTTGTCTTCTAGGTATATCCCCACCGCAGCTGCGTTCGGCGGTTTGTGCATTGGCGCCCTGTCAGTGTTGGCCGACTTCCTAGGGGCCATTGGCTCTGGCACTGGAATTCTGCTCGCAGTTACTATTATTTATCAGTATTTTGAAATATTTGTTAAGGAACAGGCTGAAGTAGGTGGGATGGGTGCTTTGTTTTTCTAAATGTTCCAGTACTTTTTTGTGTGAAGAGAAAACATTTTGACACATTGTTTTTGTCAAATAATGCTGGCTCCCCTCTTCTCCCCTCATTTTTTTTCAAGTGCTAACTGTTCCATTTCTGAAATGGGCACCGAGCTAAGCCTGTGTGCAGCATTAGTACCAGCTGCCTTAAAACTAAAGTTTACATTATTCATTAGAAAATATACATGTAGTGTTGCCTGTGATGCTGAAAACCAATGTACCCGCCTTGCCGTGTTCAGTTGTGACGGTGAGGTAACGTGGATCAGTTTTGCACACAATATTCAAAACACTCAGTATTGCCCCCACTTGTTTAAAAATAAATATAGTTCAAATTGTCACTTTCCAGTATTTTGGACTTATCTATATTTTAGATATAATTACTTTTTATACTTTTTAAACTCGTAGTATCCATGTTCCAACCCTCCCTTTCCATTCCTTCCCTTTTATTTGTCCCTTTTCAAAGCAGCCACTTAGCCCAGATGGGCAAAATCAAGTTTCTTCAAGCTCTGTCACTAGAAAAACTACTTATAATTATTATTCTTGTTTTCCATTCCTCTTTCTTCCCAGTGATAGCACAATTGGTGCTGTTTTTACTGTATTGGCTATGCCTTTGAATTCCAAGTCACTTGAGAATGCTCTTTCAAGATACCATGTCCCAGTTGTTTTATTTAAAAACCCTAAAGCAAAGATCTAATTCTCAAGCAATGTCTGTAGTTCAGTGGGGGTGAACAAGGAGTAATTCATGCTAGGAATCTGTATACGTTGTTGTACTTTATAGCAGCAACATGAGTGTAAACAGTAGATAACAAACTTTTATTTAATACAACTGTTTCAGTTGTGTTGGAAAAATAAAAATCTGATATTAAATGCTTTGTGTAGGTTCATTGTATTCATACAGAATCTGTCCTGAGGTGCCTATTGCAAGAGGTCAAATGTAATTAGTGTATAATCCTAAAATATTGAGGGACAGTGACCAACTTAAGGTTCCTCAGTTATGTCACTAACATTTGGAAGCAGGAAAACACTGGTCTCAAATGATATCCCAGCCCCCATTTGAAATAGTAGCAGTTCTTTATCAATAACTTATTTTTAAAGTATGTGCTTTATTGTCCAAAAAGAGATCAGATTTAATTTTTGAAAGACTTCCTTTTCAAAAGTATTATTTTCCATTGTTTTTTACCTTTTTGTTAAGTATATTTTATTTAGCTTAGGTTCACAAAGCCAAATAACTACAGGGGCAAGGCAGATAAAGTAAAAGCTGGCAGGACAGCAAGGATGGTCAAGGGGTGAACATCTCAGGGTGCAGACCATTGTTACCATAGAAATAGGGACCTAGTGTTGTTTTTATCTGTTTTGTTTTTTTCCAAGAGAAGGTAAAAAAATATGGCTTTCATGGGAAATCTTCAACTTATTTTATTTCAAGAGAGAGAGAGAGAAACATCCATGTGAGAGAAACATCCATGTGAGAGAAACATCAACCGGCTGCCTCCTGCATGCCCCCTAACTGGGGATCGAGCCCACAACCCAGGCATGTGCTCTGACTGGGAAACCAATCAGGAGCTCTCTGTCCATGGGATGACGCTCAATCCACTGAGCCACACGAGCTAGGCGGAAACCTTCAACTTTTAAATTCTGACAAATTAGCAGTGCGAGTCAATGAAAATGTCTAGTCTACAGGTTCTCAAACTGAGTAATTTCCAAAGTATAGCCTTTGATGTTTATAGATAACATAAATGGCATTTAGGGTTCTGTTCTAGGGTTTAGCTGACAGTTCCACATTGCACTCTTAGGAGGAGTAAAAAGCAGCAAGGACAGGTAGGAGTTATGAATATCTCCATCAATAGTTAAGAGTATATTTTTTAGTTCCTATGAGGAGGGGCTCAGGAAGAGCTGTTCTGTTTGGAGAGACAGGGCTATGTTAGAGTGTGTATTTTATATATGCCTTATTTCTTGATTTTGAAGGAGGGTGGTAACAAGGGAAATTAGAGAACTTGGTCCTTGAGAGGGAAAAGGATTAAGATCTCTGGAGAATTATGAGGCCCATGTTTAAAAAGGGGTTATAGGCACAAGGGAAGGCTAGTATTAGAGCAGGTAGTTGGGGCTTAATTTTCACAATATATATTGGGAGAGTTGACTTGATCTGTACAGGGCTCTGATTCCAGAATTCTTTCCATCCTTATCTAAGAAGTACAAGATAAAGATCTTATATTTATGCTCATAAAAGTATCTATAGTAGACAAATGAACTATATTGCAGCATTTTTGGCATTAGTACCCTGATTTTATCTGGTTCTCAGGGGCCTGGCTAACCCCTGGGTCCAGAGCTTGAATCATCAATTAGGGCTGGCCCATGAGAATCATTCGGAGACTTCTGCTGGGGGCTAAGCTGAAAAGACAACGATCCTGAAATCGCTGGAGGCCATAACAGTCAACCCAAGAGCTCCAGCTCAGTTAAGAGGTAAGGAGATGGCCCAGTAACCCTGGTAGACCTTTTGTATGACATGCATTAGGCATGGCACAAGCCAGAAATAATCCTATTTTTCCCTTTCAAGTAGTTTGTATTGGGTTTCTGGTATTTGGTAACCTTGCTGGCTATAATCATGGTTGAACATCAAGACAATAATGCCCCAAATTATATAAATCTTATTACTATGGATTTGGTTTTTTAGAAACTTCAAGTACTTTTCTGAGGTAACAATAGGAAATGAAATTCTCAAGTACGTCCACATGCTTCATATCATGAATGTTACACTCTGTTGATTTTTATATCCTCTGCTACACAAGTTAACTCTGTATCTCTATATAGCAGATAATTCAATTAGGAGGGTCCAAGAAAGTCCCTTTATAGGCTTCTTTTAAAACTGTTTAAACACTAATGTAGTAAATTGTTATTAGCATACTCAGCTATAGAATTTTATGTTGGAGGTTTGAGGGTGGGAATAGTTGACCTAATTTAGAATTCAGGTCTTCTATAGAAATACCCCTCTCTCTTGGACTAGAATATATAACCGCTGAAGTTTAGAAAAATGGATTAGACATATTTGCATTTAGCTTTTGAATGAAGGCTATAGCCTACGTATAATTACAATTCCACACCACCACATCCATTCTTTGTTGTTTTTATTTTGTGAAAAAAGGTAATTTCAAATCTCCATTAAACTTAGCTGAATACAAACTCTTAGTGAAGAGGCCTTGTGGCCTCATTTACAAAAACATTGCTGCTCTCCTCTGGCCTTAAAATTTCAGAAAGGGCACTTCAAATGGCTTTGTGTTTGCATGTTTCAGCGCCAGTGCATAGGAATAGACCCTCGCATCCACTGTCAGATGTCCTTCAGCTACCAATGCTACAGGAAGCAAAGACACAAGTTAGACAATATGGTTAATAAAGGATAATGTCTCTTAATTGTTCAGGCAGTATTTACTGAGCAACTACTATGTGCATTCCCTATGCTAGATGCTGGTGATACAGTGGTAAACAAGACATTTTCTGCCTTCAAAGATCTTACTCTAGTGGAAGAATAAAGGATATAAGAGCAGGGTTACATTTCTAGCTCAAGGCAAAAACAACAAAAAAGTTAAGAATGAAGACGAGCACATATATCAGAGATGATGATTTTGTGTGTTAAAACAGCAAAGCTTTATAAACTCACTTGTCCACTTATATAGCTTACTATTGGACTCTGCTACTGTGAAACTCCATAGTGATGACAACTCAGTAGTTTATTGAGGAATCACCTGTGTGTCTGCCTGCTGCTAGGCATATACGAAAGTTAACTGTGTGTATGATAGGATTAGAATTCTATCAAGGATGAGATGTTGGAATCTTATTACAAAGGGCTTTAATGAGAACTTCTGATTCACTCAGATGGACGTTATGATTTCAGATCTGTCTCATTTGTTTAGGAACAAGTTGAGTCATGTTAATCCTGGAAGGCAGGGTTATGTCCTACTCGGTCTGCATGGTGCTTGGTAAGTGTTGAAAGCTTATTCCTTGTAGCAAACTGAACTAAAAAACATTCCTTCCTATTTCTCAAATATGATTTGTTGAATAAATAATTTGATTACTGTATTTCAATTCTAGTAAACCTAGGAAAACTGACTTTCACCCCTCCCCCTCTCTTGCCCTGTATTTCTCTCTTCTGCGGCCAGAAGGGAAGTTAAGTGAGGTGGAAGGGAGAAGGAAGGAATTTAAAAAAATAACTTTCTAATTAAAAAAAAAAAGCATATAACATTTAAGCACTGTGTCAAAATTATCCCATTTACTTTTACTCATGCCTCCTCAGACATAGGGGCTAGCTGTCTATTGTTCCATATATGAGAAAAGCTTAGGCTATGCAAGTTGTTCAAAGTCATAACTGATACATGGTCAGCTGAGCCTCTAATCCAGTCAGATCTGTCAGACTCAAAGTTAAATCTTGCTTATAATTGATGGCCAAGACTTTCTCTGAGGAAATACCTAATTATTGAATCTTTTCATCATGAGTATTTCTAACTCTGACTTTGAATCTGGAAGGGGCTTTTACCTTAGGCCTAGTTTTTAAAACAGCAAAGTAGGAATGGAAACTTTCTGAGAATCTGAAATCACAGCAGTTTTTGAAAGATTCACTTCACTTTTCAAACAAACAACAGACATTAGAAATAAAATTGTAAGCTGCTGGTACTTAAGGGAGGAAGAAAGACACTGCTCTCAAAGCTTCAGGTCAAACAATGCTTTGAATTACTTTTTGAAATAATTGAATGAGTGAATGGGCACCTACCCAGCCTGCATAGAGGAGCTTCATAAAAGGCCTCTGTCACCCTGGCCCATGTGGCTCGGTGGTTAGAGCACTGGCCTGTGCACCAAAGGGTCTCAGGTTTGATTCCTAGTCAAGGGCATGTACCTAGGTTGCAGGTTTATTCCCAGGCCCCAGTCAGGGCAGGTGTGGGAGGCAACCAATTGATATGCCTCTTTAACATTGATGTGTCTCTCTCTTTTCCTGTCCCTCCCCCACTTACACTCTCTTTAAAAAAAAAAAAATCAATGGAAAAAATATTTTTGGGTAAGGATTAATGGGGGGAAAAAAAAGGCCGCTGTACAGTATATCCTGATGTACTTATAGCAAAGGCTATTTGTCCACATAACCTTACTTTTTTCTTTTTACAAAATCCCTAAGAGATGGGCTGGCCAGGAATTACACAATGTAACTAGATGGCCAGTAATTTACTAAGGATCACACAGTCAGTTAGTATGGTTCATTATATTAGCATATTGCACTTAGCATATAATAGATATCAATATTTATAGAAGCAATATTATTCAATTCTCTTTTAACTTTTACCCTGTACAAAGAACCATCTAACATACTAGCATATTTGAGGGTCAGCTAAGTGATATCTATTTATGCCTCTGCATTACCACAGGTTAAAGATTTAAGATACAGAATGTTTGGGCTAGTAAGTGGGAATATCATCTTGACTATTCTATAGGAGAAAAAATGATCCACTGAAAGCTTTCACTGACATGGAATGTTGTGCTCATATTTTTAAACTCTATGCCACCCAGAAAGGAGAATTACTATTGGCCAACTGCAGTTTTATAATAAGTTCTAGATATTTGACTTTAAGGAGGAAGAATATTAAGAAACAATTATATTTAGTTCCCCTTTGCTGGGGATGGGGAAAGGGAAACTAGACAAAATTGGGTAATAATCTCAAGAATGCTTACCTTCAAGTCTGTTCATCAAGTCATTCTTTGGCAAGGAAATTACTTCCATAAATTCTAAATAAACAAACTCCAAGTGAAAACAAAGCTAAAGAACAGGAGAGCCCACCAGAACAACACAAAAGCCTGTAGTCATTACCACTACATTAAGCCATATACATGGTCAGCCACTGGGAGTCCAATAACATACCTCCATCTCCTGAAAAATAAACAGAAGGAGAACATTTTAGCAAGGCCTGGAGTGGTAAAATACTGGAAGACTTTTGTGCAAGACATCAAAAAAGGCTATAAGGTGTTCAGGAGAGCCGCCCAATGTGCTTTCTGGCCCAGGAGCCAGAAGGAGTGGGACTGAGAGGAAACCGAAAAGAAAGTCAGAGGGAGCAGTGTGTAGGTGTGGCTGGAGATGGCAGGCTGCTGCGGATCTGAGACTAGTGGTCCCTGGACAAAATGAAAGGTGGTGGGTGCCTGTCAACTTTAGAGGGAGGGTGGGGAACATCTAATTGCTTACGGTGCTGGAAACCTCAGCCACCCCAATTCTACCTTTTCTTAACCTCACTTCTCTATCTACACAATCTGTGTGAGTGTGAACTCAGATCTTACTGTTTTTTTTTTAACAAAGGCTATAAGAATTAGCCCTGGCCGGTTTGGCTCAGCGGTTAGAGCATCGGCCTGTGGTCCTGAGAGACCCGGGTTCGGTTCCCGCTAGGGGCATGTACCTCGGTTGCAGTTTGTCCCCGGCCCTGGTCGGTTGTGCGGGTGGCAGCCACTCGATGTGTTCCTTTCACATTGATGTTTCTCTCTCTCTCTCTCTCTGTTCCTCTCTCTCCCTCCCACTCTACCTGAACAAAAAATGGAAAAAATGTCCTCCGGTGAGGATTAAAAAAAAAAAAAGAATTGCCCTGGCCGGTTTGACTCAGCGGTTAGAGTGTCGGCCTGTGGTCTGGAGAGACCCGGGTTCGGTTCCTGCTGGGGGCGCGTGCCTCAGTTGCGGTTTGTCCCCGGCCCTGATTGGGTCGTGTGGGTGGCGACCACTCGATGTGTCCCTTTCACGTCGATGTTTCTCTCTCTCTCCCCCTCCCACTCTATCTGAACAAAATATCATAAAAAATGTCCTCGGGTGAGGATTAAAAAAAAAAGGCTATAAGAATTTAACAAATCTCGGTCACAAAGTTTACCATTTTAAAGGTATAATTTAGTGGCATTAAATAGACTCACATTGTACAAACATCAGCACTGTCCATCTTCAGAACTTTTTAATCATCCCAAAATGGAAACTTGGTACCCATTAAACACTAACTTCACCATCCCTGTTGACCTCTATTTTGTAGATACACTGACTTTAGGTATCTCATATTAGTGGAATCACAATATTTGCCCTTCTGAGTCTGGCTTCTTCCACTTAGCACAATGTTTCCAAGGTTTATCCAAGTTATAGCATGTATCAGCACATTTTACTGTTTTATGGCTGAATGTTATTCCATCGTGTGAATATACCACATTTTGTTATCCATTCATCTGTTAATGGGTTGTTTCTACCTTTTGGATACTGTGATTAACGCTATATGAACATTGGTGTACAAGTTATCTATTTGAAGCCTGTTTTCAATTCCTAGGAGTATAATTGGGTGTGTACCTAGGAGTGTAGTTGGGTGCATACATAGGAGTGTAATTGCCGGATCATATGGTGATTCTATGTTTAACACTGAGGAAGCACCAAATTCTTTCCAGAGCATGTTATATATATATATTGGCTAGTTTAAATATCAAGCACTTAAAATTAGCTGAAATGGGATACTGAAACATTTAGGAACAACTGGAGGATGAGAAATGAAGACTATCACTCTCGTACCCAGTTTCTTGTGGTGTATCAATACCTCTTTTTTTTAAATCCTCACCTGACGGTATTTTCCCATTTATCTTCAAGTAGAGTGGGAGGGAGGGAGAGAGAGAGAAACAGTGACATGAGAGGGATACAACAACTGCCTCCCACATGACCCTAACCAGGGCCGGGGATAAACTGCAACTGAGGTACAGGCCCCTGACCGCATTTGAACCTGAGACTCATTGGTCCAAGGGCTGATGCTCCGACTGCTAAGCCAAACTGGCCAGGGCTCAACACCTCTTTTAAGGGGTTAGGGGAGGACATGGAACTGACAGAGGCATTAAAGCTAATTCCAAACTTGCTAAGAAATATAGGACAAAGAATTTCCTAAAAGCTTTTCTAAGCTAATGTCCTGTAACAATTACTTAAGCCATTCCTATAAATATGAAAACAGAAATTAATGATTTTGATGATTTTCACTGTTTACTATTAAGTCCTATAGCTAATATTACTAAGTGAAAATAAATAGAAAATATGGAAATGTACAACTTAACGTTTTATATAAAGAAACCATAAAAATCAGCCCTGCTGGTGTGGCTCAGTTGTTGAGCGTCAACCCATGCACTAAGACGTCGCCAGTTCTATTCCTGGTCAGGGCACATGCCCAGGTTGTGGGCCTGATCCCCGGTTGGGGGCATGTAGGAGGCGGCTAGCCAATCGATGTTCTCTCTCTTTGATGTTTCCATCTCTTTCTCCCTCTCCCTCCCTCTGTCTCTCTCATATATCAATAAAGAAAAAGAAAAAAAAGAAAGCATAAAAATCAAGGAAGTGGTAAAAGAAAAATGCTAAAATACACAAAATCATGAAAATAGCCAAGAATACTAATGAAATATCCACAAAAGGCTACTATTCTTTTGACCAATCAAAAATCAATCTAGTAACTAGAAGTTAAAAGATATTAAATGCAATTCATCTACCTTAAACATAGCCATTGTTCACTTACCTAGCTTTGCCTTAGGTCTTACATTTTCAGCCTCATCTCCATTAATAGTTACTGTCACGATGTGTGTGGTACAGTTTGACAAACCTGGATCCATACATATAACTACGGAGAGAAGCAACAGGTCATCTTTACAGACATCAGTCAGATGTCACGTTTCATGACTTAAATATCCTTAGCAGAAGACTGGTCTCATAATTCCCATAACACAGAATTTATGCAGGAAAACTAGTCTACTCTAGTCACTTAGTATATGCTGTAGAACTGTAGAGCATGTAAGTAATCAGTACTCATATTTTTCCCAGAGTTCCTAAGTTTCGTAAGTCTAGGGGTTAGATTGTACTATACAACTCACATGTTGTAAATCCTTCCACTACATCAAGAAAAAAATCTTCTAGAGAGGAACATGGCATGTGGATGAGGTGTGTATGTAATAAAGCTTAGAATGTGGAAAACTGGAAACAACACCATTTCCTACTTCTTCTCCAGCTCCAGGTCCTTCCTGCTCAAATTTGCTCTCACTTAGAGGGGAGGGGATGACCACGTGTAGATGGTGCCCAGATCTAATTATGATTTCTCATCAGTGAATTAACCAAAATAAAAGCCATCTGAATTTTGACCATAAAGAACACCCAAAAAATCAATCCTTTTACACATAGAAGAATCTACTGCTTGGCTAATTTTCATAGTTTGTCCCCAAGTACACATCTGGACAGCAATACAAACCTGGAGAGCATTCAGCAATATCACCTTTATAGCCAGTTTCTTCTTCCAGCTCGCGCAGAGCAGCTGCTTCTGGGCTTTCATTGTCATCTATAAGACCTGGAAATCCAAAGCACTTGTGAGGCAGGAGAGGGAAATCAACTTTTCTTTGAAATTCTCCTAACATAGCTGCTGCTAGCTACATGAAAAGAATCAGAGGACTGTGAAAAGTAGTCTTACAGATAAAACTGAGGTTTGTAATTTTTATTAAAAAAAAAAAAAAAGACGGATTGCCCTGGCCGGTTTGGCTTAGTGGTTAGAGCATTGGCTTGTGGACCAAAGAGTCACGGGTTCGATTCCAGTCCAGGGCATGCACCTAGGTGGATGTTCAGTCCCCGGACCTGGTTGGGTCTAGCGGGAGGCAGCCAATAGATGTGTCCCTTTTGCATAGATGTTTCTCTTGCTTTCTCCCTCCCTCCTTTCCACTCTATCTAAAAATGAATGAAAATATCCTCAGGTGAGGATTAACAACAAAAATAATAATAAATAATGAAAGGGCAAAAGAATGAAACTCTAGGCAGGTTAAGTTGGTTACGACAGTTCTCATCTGTTCTTAGACCTAGATTGTTTTCATAAGCATCTCAGTACTAATGTTCTTCTACAGCATAGGCAGCATCAATCTGTGAGGACAACTGGCTTGTTGGTGGCTGACTGGTCCAGGTTTTGACCTAGCTATGTGACTACAGCACAGGAAGCCTGTTGCTTTTTTTGTTTCCTCTTATATAAAATGGGGACAGTTGTTACCTATTTGCCTTACTCTCTCACAGAACAATATTGAGACCCTGTAGTGAAATACTGAGTTGAAGATCACCTCTGAGGACAACAGAAAGGACAGAACTGAAGGCTGGTGGACTGTAGGTAACTACCATGGTCATTGTGAGGAGTAAATAGAGGCCAAGTGGGAGGAAGACAGTAGCAATTCTGAGTGATTTTCCTGAAAGGAATAAGAACTGCAAAAAGAAAGGTGAAATAATAGGCTGCTCAGTTACTTTTAAAATTACTAATTTTTTGGGGGAAAATGGCAAGTAAATAAGAAAGAAAAGAAAGTTATTTATACATGGAATAGGATGGTGTTTAAAAATATAAAACTTGCCTGGCCAGTGTGGCTCGGTGGATTGAGAGTCATCCCATGGACTGAGACCTGGTTTGATTCCCGGTCAGGGCACGTGCCCAGGTTGAGGGCTCGATCCCCAGGAGGGGGTGTGCAGGAGGCAGCCGATTGATGTTTCTCTCTCCCTCTCCCTCAAAAAAATCAATAAAAACATATTTTAATGTATATATATATATATATATGTATATATATATATATATATATATATATATATATATAAATTAAACCACTAATGATAAATGAGATCTAATCCTTTCTGATGGAACAGCTCAATTAAGTCCTATAATAATACACTATATAAGTTCTAGATAACTTACTGTACAACTGAAATACTTTAATGGAAATTAAGACAATTCCCTTGGCTTACATAGGGGAGTGTCATGCTATCTTTTCCATTCACAGATTTTGGAGTCTGGCCTCATTATTACTGTAAATTTCTTGTCAGAGGCAGATCACTAGTGATAGAAGATGAAGTAAATTGACAAATTAGTGAAAAGCAATTACTCAAAGAGTCTAGAAAGAATGTGAAAAAGAGGAGAGCAAGTGCCTTTGAAAGGTGAGCTGTGACACCACATCTTTCATCGTCTCCATGGATGATTGGACCAGGAGAGTGTGGCTAGAGGCACTTCACTACAGAAATGGTTTCATTGGCCCAGCCGGTGTGGCTCAGTGATTGAGTGTGGACCCATGCACCAAGAGGTCACCAGTTCGATTCCCAGTCAGGGCACATGCCTGGGTTGTGGACCCAATTCCCAGTAGGGTGCATGCAGGAGGCGGCCAGTAGATGTTGTCTCATCAATGTTTCCATCTCTCTCCTCCTCTCCCTTCCTTTCTCTCTCAAATCAATAGAGAAAAAAATTTATGTTTTAAAAAGAAAGAAATGGTTTTATTGAACTTGAAAGCCCATGGACAGACACAAAGGTGTTAAATGTCTAAGTCCTGCAGTACTCAGACTCTGTCTTGACTCAACCCAACAAGTCCCAAAGAGTATTTTCCCCCCTATGTTTAGTGGCTCACCTGCAGGGAATTCCAGGCAGTAGCTTCCCATGGGTGGACGGAACTGTTTCACCAGAACAATACATTCATAATGAAGAGTTCTTTGCAGCACTGGGATAATCGTCACACCTGTCACCAGGAAATAAAATGAAGTCCCTAATGAAAGGTCAGTCATGCTAGCAACCTGTTTATAGCAATCTAATAAAATCCCTATTTCAAAGAAATGCTATATCTGAAATCTACCTCATATTTGCCCTTAGCAATACGGACTTAAAAGCTACAGTACTTGGCAGTTAACTTGGAAGTTATTTTCACTTAAAAATGTAGTTAAAGAGTTGTCCTGGCTGGTGGCTCAATGGTTAGAGCATCATCTCATGTAGCAAAAGATCGAAGGTTTGATTCCTGGTCAGGGTGCGTGTGTGAGGCAACCAATCGATGTCTCTCTCTGTCTCTCTCTCCATCCTTCCCTCCCTCTCAAAATCAATAAAAAACATCCTTGGGTGAGGTTTTTAAAAAAAATGTAATTAAAGAAAAAGTAATCACACTTCTATGTTGTTTTTAAATCAAGTGAGTTCCAGGTTACTTGGACTTAAAATAAAAACAAAGCCCCACTGGGATCTAGAAAACACTACTCAGGAGAAGTACCCCACCCCGACCTCTCCCCTGCAACACTTTCCCAGCAGTAAAAAAACAGCACAGAATAAAAAAATAAAAGGAAGAAACAAGATGTATTCCCCAAATTCCCCTAGACCAGAGGTGAGTTTCAGGATTGTTTCTGGGACCTTTGCAGTCAAACCATTCACTCCTGGAAGGGAAAGTGAACTGAATGAATAGTTGTTCCCTAATTCCATTTCCTCATCAACTATAAAGCACTTGGTTAAGAGTGTGAAGTGCAAATAAATTTTCCAAATTAAAAGCTCTCACCTAGATCCTTTGAACAGAATACAAAGGATTTCTATGAGTTGTAACATACCTAGACACAGTATGTGGCTTCAAATTCTACTGATTTGTGTCTGGCTATAAATATTAGTACATCTTCCCTCAAAAACACTGTTTGGAGCTTAGATACCAGGAGGCAGAAGTTATTTATAAAGAAAGCTTGATTTAGTTACATAGCATTGCAAAATGAATACTAGATTTAAAGAGAAAAATCATAATTGAAAATAACCCTGCCCTGAAATCTCAGTTACAGTAAAAAACAAACAAACCATAACACAACCCCCCCCCCTTGGGGGGAGGGGAGAGGGTATGGTGGAGATAAATGGAGATGGAAAAAGTAAAATAAAATAATTGAAAACAACAACAAAACAAACACAACCCTCCTGCACCTAGCCTACTACAGCAATATGTGTTAGCTTCTCTTAGGAAGGGTTATAATAGTTCTGCACTCATACCATCAGCCGACTGTCCTTTCCTGGTTGCACGTTTCACAGTTTCCCAAGTTCTGTTTAGGCAGAGAAGAAGAAATAAAATCATTAGCGCTAAAGAGAAAAATGTTCTTAGGTTTTGTGTGTATAGCAAGAATTTTACAAATGCAAAGCATGCAAATATACAAATGGTCAACAAGACCACAGCAGTGAAGATCATTCTTTAAAAAGCCAATTGTACCGTTTTATAATTGCCAACGGACATTTGCCTCTCTGGGTGCTGTCATTTGAACTGCTTTTCAAATCAATTACTTGAAACACTTTAGTTTGGATCATAAATCTGGAGGGGAGCAGCACGGCTGGTGACTACAGCTTTCTAAGCTGATAAGCAGTGTATGCACTGTAAGCCCGTATGAAAAAAGGATACTCTGCACAATGAGAACCTAGTGAGTTCGTTACTTACACAATCTAGATTTAAAGTCTGTGATGTAAAATACACTATTTAAGAAAGCAGGACCTTTCCATTTATTAACTGAGGAATTTTTTTTCCCCCTTGATTGATATATATATATCTATATATGTATATATATATATATTTTTTTTTTTTAGAGAGAGGAAGGGAGAGGGAGAGAGAGATAGAAATATCAATGGGATTGGGCCCACAACCTAGGCATTTGCCCTGACCGGGAATCGAACCGGTGACCTCTTGGAGCATGGGTCGACGCTCAACCACTGAGCCACCCAGGCTGGGCTTAACTGAGGAATTCTTAAATTTAGGAGCATGCTCTACTGTGCTTGTGTGACATCTTATTTAAGGGAAAATGTCCCCAGAAGAAAACGAGGTTTTCTGCTCCTGTTTATGGCTTCATTAATGACAAGTTATTTGTTTCAGGGGAATGTTGTACCGAAACTCCAGTTATTGGCACAATCATGTTGCTTGTGGGGGTAGGAGGGGCATCTGAGAGAAATTCCCCCTTTACTCTCATTCCTTAAATAGAAAAAAGCAGTGGTAAGAGATGGGAGTGAAGAAGGAAATAATTTTGGATCCAAGAGAAGACATCTGAGTGGCTCTGGGGATTAGGATAAGAAAGGCATCAACATCATCTCCTTAGAGTAACAGTGAGTATAAGATGTGTTACTTGGAGGAACCCTCAGACTTTTTATCTGGTTTGAGGTTTGACTCTTGCCACATTTGTTCTTTTTTTTTTTAAATCCTCACCCGAGGATATTTTTCCATTTTTCTTCAGATAGAGTAGGAGGGAGACAGAGAGAGAGAGAAATATCAACGTGAGAGAGACACATTGACTGGTTGCTTCCTGTACAACCCCTACCAGGGCTGGGGATGAACTGCAACTAAGGTACGTGCTCTTGAGCCGAATCAAACCCAAGACTCATTGGTCTGCAGGCCGACACTCCAACTACTGAGCCAAACCGGCCAGGGCTTGACACATTTCTATTTTAAAAATATTGAGATATTTTATCTAGTTAACAAAAAACAACTTGCTGTATACTGTAGATTTTTCAAGTATTGTACCCAAATTCTGCAGGGCAAATATGTCAAAAAGAACCTATGAAAATCAGACAGATTACTATGACAACTCACAGCTGCCCAGTGTTCCTGTTAGTAGCAAGAAGCCAGCCAACACGCAATTCTGATAAGTCATTAATATGGATTGCAAGAGACAAAACACCTTTTGCTTAGCTTTCTGCTGCCTCTTAAGGTTAGTCCTAAAGACTGAAGAAGACAATGCCAGGAAAAGCACTGAAGGTCCCATCCCAAATACACTAGGAATAAGGGAAAAAGAGCATCATTATAGTAGTAAAGATGAGATAAATAAGCAGTAATGAATGAGCCATCAATTATGAGCAGTAAAATATAAATGCATTTATAAGAAACACTAGAATGCCCCATGAAAGCTCTAGTCATCTTTAAAGGGACTCTGAGAGTTGTACATTGGGTTGAGTCAGAAAATTTTAGTCTCTATTACCTACTGTCTAACCCATAGCCACAACCTCCTCAAGACTTTTCTTTTGTAAAACTTGGGAGTTAAGAGCATGTTATTTCACAAGCCTCTTGTAGCTTTAGAATTCTGATTCTGGTTAAAGTTACTCCACTTTTTAGTCTTTGCTATTACAGGAAAAGTCGTTTTGCTCTCTTCCCTCTGGTCAATAAACACAAGAGGTTGGAAGGGCCACAAGAAAATGACTTCAGTTTTGTCCTGAATGTCAACAAAAGGGCATAATGCCAGCATACTTGTACACTTCTAAAATTAATTCTATAGCCTCTTCCATGAATAAGACAGCAAAACAAAGGATTCTCTAGCTATTTTATCCTTATGTGCATGCTTTTATATCAGGTAATAGATAAAACATTTTATAAATTTATAAATTGTAGCCTACTGCAAAGTACAGAGCTTCTTCATTCTCCCACACTTGACATTCTGTTTGAAATGTCAGTGCTTCACAGAAGACCTCTTTGGAGGCTGTGAGGAAGACCTACGTGAGGAAGACTGGAGATGAGTAGGCCATGTAAGTATGAGTTTGGTAGACTTTAAGCCTCAAACTACTGAAGCGATTCTCTGTAGGTGAGACCTAATGAGTGTTTTGAAATAATCCCCAAATGATTCTGATGCACAGCCCCAATTATGATGCTGGAAGGAAGAGAGAGAGACCGCTGGTGCAAACCAACACGTGCTCCTTAGACTGACTAGTGTTAAGGGTTTTATTTTGTGTTATAAACTTAAACAACTTCATGGGGAAGAAACTCAAATGATATCACTGTAAGCTGCGTTCTAGCCTCTGTCTATAGTTTCACAAATATAAGTCATTGGGACATACTGTGCTCCCTAAGGCTTAGGCCTTGCCACATTTCTAAATCCCTACTTTGTTCATATTTAGTTCTATACATCAAATTCACTTTAAATAATAGATAATATACTCTTCGACAGTGTTGTTGGATCATAGTATGCTTAGCTTTCTTTTGGGTTTTAATTTAACAGTGCTATGGATATCTTAATGTTTCCCACAGCTATCCAACATTGGGCCTTATTAATATTTTTGCCAGTATAATAGATATAATCAAAAGTTGTTCATATTACTGACAAGTCCATGTACTTTTGCACTGATGATAGATGTATTTCCTCACAAAGAAAATGTGTTCTTGTTTGATCACTTAAATGGAGTTTTTATATTAATGAATTTATATCATATAATCTAGATACTAAATTTAGATTTTTGTATTTTCTCATTCCGTTTTATTCCTTATATTTCATTAAGTAAATGCTTAATCTATTTTAATACATTTTTGATACTTATAAAAATTACTAAACAGAAAATCTGAAAAATAAAAGACAGAAATGTTAATCATACAGCTACCATTAATATTTTTCTAGTTTTTCTTCTTGCTTTTACTTACACATTATTTGGCAGAGTTTAAAAAACATATAAACAATTTCCTATTCTGTTATCAATTTACTATTCTCATATTGCTGGGTGGTCTTCATAATCTGCTTTGTGCATGGATGCATAGATTTTATAAAATTATTACACTATAATAATCCCTTATTTTTAGGATGTTTCGGTTGCTTTCAATTTATTTTTTAAAAATTTGATGACCATTTTTAAGGCATAAATCTGATTCCAAATAGTTTTCTTAGGGAGAGTCTCAGACCTCACAGTGACCTGGCTCCAAACAGCCCTAGTATCTTTAAGATGATTGATACATATTGTGAAATGCTTTACAAAATGTTTTTTTTCCAATTTACATTTCCATGAGCAAGGTGTAAGCATGTAACTTTTACCTCAAACACAGCAATATTTCCTCTTTAATTCTAATGTAGAGATTAGAATTGGTTTAATTAGAAAGAAGGAACCTGCATTGTTAATTATTTTGCTGTTTTATCAGCTTAAATTAGGCTTGTCCCACAAGTTTTAGGTTCACACCAAACTACTTGGGGAGATGGTGTTAAAATAGCTTCCTGACTAGTTACTATAACAATTTTACAATATAATCTTATTCAGAGATTATAAGTGATTCAGACATTCTAACAATGGGAAAACAGCTAAATTAGATTATTTAAGATAGAGTTTACAATGAGGAAAATATCGACGTTTAAGTCAAACACTAAGTAGAGAATTTGAGAACCTCCCAATACCGAGCATTTTACAAAGGAAAAAATATAGTTTACCTTGTTTTACCAGTAGGATCCATGTAAGTTGTTTTTTCAAACTTGACCCATTTTCCTTCTGCAATTAACTAAAAGGAGATCAGATGACAAATAAATTGGGGAGTTTTCAAACTGAGTTGTTTTTAATTTAGAAGGTTTTTTTTCTTTTCACATTTTCTCTATATAGCCCTCCCAATTATCATGTTTCCCTTCCAATCATTCATGTGCAAGTTTTCATTGTTTGTTTTTGTTTTTATCCTCACCCGAGGACATTTTTCCATTTTTTGTTCAGGTAGAGTGGGAGGGAGAGAGAGGAACAGAGAGAGAGAGAGAGAAACATCGACGTGAAAGGAACACATCGAGTGGCTGCCACCCTCACAACCGACCAGGGCCGGGGACAAACTGCAACCGAGGTCATGTGCAAGTTTTCAGTTGAGAGTACTAAATGTTGTTTTCCTGGGGGGGGGTGGTTCTGCTTCCATTTGGAGTTTTGGAGGTAGTACTGAGACATAAAAAGAAAACTCTTGGGGTGGGGTGGGGTGGGCTGGGGAAGGAAGACTAGAAGGAAGCACAAAGGAGTGAGGGGGTTCTCTGGGATGCTCCTCATATTTGGGCCTCTGATCTGAGTGCTAGTCATATAGGCATATGTGTTTAATATGTGAACTCATCAGTGCCATTTTACTTTCAATGACTACAAAGCAAAGTTGACTAAGGGGAAACCATGTCCAATGACAGGGTTTCCAATCTGAGTGGCACACTCAGCATCTTTCTGCCTAGACATTGAGTAGTTTAGGTTCCCAGGACTAACTTACTATGGCACTATACTGTATTAACAGGAAAGTGACACTGTGTACATATAGCAGTAGATGCTCTGACTATGCCGTCTTTCACTTCTTTTTTTTTTTTAATCCTCACCCGAGGACATTTTCCCATTTTTTTGTTTAGATAGAATGGGAGGGGGAGAGAGGAACAGAGAGAGAGAGAGAAACATCGATGTGAAAGGAACACATCGAGTGGCTGCCACCCGCACGACCGACCAGGGCCGGGGACAAACTGCAACCGAGGTACGTACCCTTAGCGGAAACCGAACCCGGGTCTCTCTGGACCGCAGGTTGACGCTCTAACCGCTGAGCCAAACCGGCCAGGGCCGTCTTTCACTTCTTACCAGAAACAACCTACTTATTACCAGCACATCTATTCACAGGTAACATGAAGAGATTTTTATTTTTAAAAATATGTGTTTATTGATTTTGTTAGAGAGGAAGGGAGAGAGAGAAGTATCGATCGGCCGCCTCCTGGACACCCCCTACTGGGGATTGAATCCAAAACCTGGGCCTGTGCCCTGACCAGGAATCAAACCAGGGACCTCTCAGTCCATGGGACAATGCTCAATCCACTGACCCACACTGGCAAGGTAGCATGGAGAGGTTTTTATTTTTATTTATCTTTTAACAGGAAAATAGTCTGATTTTTATTTTTGCATGTTATTCTCAAGTATATGATTACAATAATTTCATACATCCCTATATGATTTTCTTTTTATGTATTTTTTTTTTTACAAAGTGTAGAGGAGGGACATTACAATATTTAATAGGATATTTCTACAGAAAATAACATATTTTCTCCTTGTAAAAATATGTATCTCTTTAAAACATTTAACTGAAACATCAAAATTTTTTTTTTTTATAATCCTCACCCAAGGACATTTTTCCATTTTTTGTTCAGATAGAGTGGGAGGGGGGGGGAGAGAGAGAGAAATATCAACGTGAAAGGGACACATTGAGTGGCTGCCACCCGCACAACCCAACCAGGGCCGGGGACAAACTGCAAGTGAGGTACGTGCCCTTAGTGGGAAATGAACCCGGGTCTCTCTGGACCTCAGACCAACGCTCTAACTGCTGAGCCAAACCAGCCAGGGCCAAATTTTTTAGCTTTACTAATCAAAATTATTTTAAGAATTAAAACTAGGTTGTAACTAATGTCAGTACATAATAGTGACTAATTTCATTTTTTCTTTACACAGACAAATACACTTTGTCACATTCACTTGACCAAACCCTTAAACACCTTTTAAAGGTTTCAGTGTTGTGCTTTAAAAATAACTATGTATGATTCCAGACTGTTTAAGAGAAATATAAAGTACATAAAATGCTATGTTCCTTATCTTTCAGTATATTTATAAATATATAGTTAGATGGCCAATTACATTTTCTGTATTAATTTTATAGGATGTTTTAGAATTAATAAAATTCCACTTTCATTTAAGCATTTTACATTACCTCTGGGAAAAATAAAAAATAAGGGAGATTTTAAAGGTTCTCACACACACACACACAAAAATAGATAAAGCTTTCAAGAATAGTATTGCAGAGACCAATGAATCAAGCAATTTTAAGTTGTTATTTTTATCCTCACCTGAGGACATTTTTATTTTCAGATGGAGCGGGAGGGTGAAGGGAAGGGAGGGAGAGAGAAACATTGATGTGAGAGAGACACATCACCTGGTTGCCACCCACACAACCCCAACCGGGGCCAGGGACGAACCGCAACTGAGATACATGCCCTTAGCGGGAACTGAACCCGGGACTCTCGGATCCGCAGGCCAAGGCTCCATCTGCTGAGCCAAACTGGCCAGGGCTATTGTGGGTTTTTTTCTTAATTATGTTATGGAGGCCAAGAGGGCACCGGAACTCCCTCTGGGACAGGTACATGCCTTAGTTTTGACTGGCATTCAGGGTGAAGTTCATACCAGCTTAAAGTACTTGATTTAGAGCTGGACTAAATCGATCCAGCACTTCAGAGGCTTCCCAAACACCCAATATTTAGATTTCTGACCCTATAAACTCTTGAAGACAGGTATCAACGGCAAAGAGAAAGATGAAAGGTAAAAACCTAAACACGCAGAGGATGGAGCACCATAAGGAAGTGGCACGGCAGCTCCAAGTGGGAAGAAAAGTCCTAAATCTCCCACGACTGCTAGGTACACGGGTGCAGCCAGCCAATTTAAGGACCCCAAAACGGTTTTATTCTCCAAAATTTATCTCAACATTATGAAATTCTAATGAACCATATTTATGTTATGAATTAATGACTCTGAGTCAGAACTATTTGTTTAAAAAAAGTCAACTATGACCCTGACTGGTTTGGCTCAATGGTTGGAGTGTTGGTCCACAGACCAAAGAATTGCAGTTCGATTCGGGTCAAGGGCACATACCTCTGTTGCACTTAGGTCCCCTGCCCAGGTTGGGGTCCTTCAGGAGGCAACCAATTGATGTGTGTCTCTCTCTCCTTCCCACTCTATCTGAAGATAAATGGAAAAATATCCTCGGGTGAGGACTTAGGAAAAACAACACAAAATAAAAAAGTTAACTCTCAAGGAAAAACACAACGGTGAAAGACTAGGTGATGTTCCAAGTAAGGCCTCAGATTTTCCTCATGCACTTAAAACATACCTTTATGTTCTAATCAAAACCAGCTTAAATGGTCAAAGCCAAGTTAAATGGACTTAATAGAGTACTAGCAAGGTAAGCAAGGTAAATAGTTAAATAAATATAAAACTAACAAGACAATTTCAGTATAGAAGCAAGGATTACTTCATTAAAAGGAACTTGCTTGTTGTTACTTTTTCCCATTGATAAAGCACACTGATTGGAATTCAGAACACTATTGAACAAAATGTAAAAAAAAAGTCAACCAAAAGCAATACTGTTTTTATACACAGCATAAACCAATATACAGTACTGTATGTGAATGAGACTGCTTAGGCCAACATCTCTAGAAATGTCTGCAGAAGTATTGTTGGTGCAGGCCCCCTTTTTTTAAGATGCTCCGCATTGTGTGCTGGTTCTTTTCTGAAGGTCTCTGGAACCCTTTCTCGCAGTGCTCACAAAGTGAGGGGTCTTTCGTTATCAGTGTAAATAACGTGTGTTTAAAGCCTCAGGTATCTGTAGTGCTTGACTCACAGTACTCACACAGATACATTTTCCTGCCACTGTGTCTTCATATGCTTTTTAAGCTCATTTTGTTGCCTACATCCCTTTCTACATCTCTTACGCCTAAATGGAAGACCTTTTGTGTGAACCAGAGAATATGGTGACTTAGAACAAATGGATCTGCAATTTTTTTACCCTTGTGGGCAGCCACGTGTTTCTTGATTTTTTTTTTTTAATCCTCACCCGAGGATATATATTTTTTTATCTTCAGATAGAATGGGAAGGAGAGAAAGGGGGAGAGAGAGAGAGAGAGAGAGAGAGAGAGAGAGAGAGAGAGAGAAAAGCATCGATGTGAGAGGGACACATCGACCAGTTGCCTCCTGCATGACCCCAACCAGGGCTGGGGATTAACTGCAACCGAGGTAAGTGCCCTGGGCTGGAATCGAACCTGGGACTCATTGGTCCATGGGCCGACACTCTAATCACTGAGCCAAATCGGCCAGGGCCGGAACATCTTTCTATAACATCCTCGATGGCATCTTGGATTACAACTGAGTCTAGGTCATCAGGAACAAAGTTATGCAGTTATGTCTAAATCCACAACATCTGAAACAAAACAGTTTCTTGTACTTCCACAACAGTTTAGTCACCATCTATGTGTGTAGCATCAGCTCCTTATAGGACTGTTGTGATGATCAAATAGGAAATGTATGGGAAGTGTTCTCAAAAACTGTTCTGAAAAATTGTTGCATCAAAAAGTGAGTTTAGCTGTTGTGCTTGTAATTCAAAGTCTATCTTCATCCATGGCCTTTCATTTTCATCAGTCACAGCTCCTCATGCCTGCAGCCTTCACCTCCTGGCCAGGCCTTAGCCCTCTGTGGTTCCCTTGCCCACGGCAGCATGGACTAGGAGAAGCCCCTCAACTGCCTCCCAACCCCTGTCCATTTGTGGAGCACACCTCTGCCACTTGGGGCAGCTAGGCTCCTCCTTGGGCCCAACTGCAGCCTCCTCAGGGCCTGCTGGGCGCTGTTGGTCGCTCACCAGGGACCAGGTCACTGCACGCTAGGCTCTGTGCCTGTAGGGGCACCAGACCACATGGAGATTTTTAAATTTTAAAAAAGAATTGCAGAAAGGTGTCAAGATCAGAGTTCCAAGATGAAGGATTTAAAATGTATCCATTGCAATGGTTCCTATAGGAAGAGACTTTTTAAAAGCTAAACTGAGTCGTAGCATAAAAGACATACATTTGCTCTGGAATTTGGACTACAACTAAAAAGTTAGATTTTTGTTGTTATACATACTGAGACCATAAACAGCTAATTAAGATGTGATATCTAAGTATGAAATGTCTAAGCCCTAAAACTCACCTGTGATTTATTGTTCTACCCAGGGAAACTTTTATTAAAAATTGAGAATTTTTCTATCAACAGCCACAGTCCACTTTTAAATCAGTCTCAATTTCACTAATACATATAATTAAAAGGGATACACTACTACTCCCACACAAGAGCACAATGACCCTGAGTCCTAAAAAGAGAGCAGGAACAATGTACAAAAACTGTCTTTAAGAATTAAAAACAATAATTTGAAACAACAAATAGTCTATACATTTCTTTGAAACTTAGTTTTATGTGGGGAGAGGAAAGGGAACTGAAAAACAATTTATACCTCCTCTGAAATAATAAACTGTTTGGTTTTTCGAGGAGAATCCACTGGTTGCTGGTTTTCCATTTTCAAACTAGTTAGTGTTTCCAGTTCTTAGGCAAGAAGTTCAAACTGCAAGAGAAAGAGATCTGTTTAAGCTACATTTATTTTTCTGAATTAAACATTTGGTCAAAGCACTTAAGACGTGAAAATCTAATGTGTCATCAAAGCTACTTTTCTCATGAGGATCTAAGAGAACTGCCCTAGATGGAAAAGTAAACGCAAAGGCCCTAGAAACATCCAGGGAATAACTTAAAGCCATCCCATTAGGTCCAGTCCACAGTAGCCAAGTTCCTTCTGTGTATGTACTAGAACACCTTAGGTAACATTCTTAGATCTTCTAACTCCAAATTTAATAGACTTCCCAAGGGAACAGTACAAAGACTGTATACTACTCCCCATGCCACCCCTCAACTATTTACAGCTCAACTTGAAGACTGTAGGCTGGCTATTTTTTTCTTCCATTTAATTTTTTTTTTTTAACTTGTGGTAAGTGGATATATACCATGTTAATAATTTTAAAATGTACACTTCAGTGGTATTGAATACATTCACATTATTGTAGCCCATTCACTTTAAAGTTTTAACATGTCCAAGTCACAGTTCACTAGTACTACAAGATCTGTGAGGAGCAGTCCCATCCCATTTGTTTCTACTACTCTCTCCTATATCTTGGTTAAATTCCTTCATTTTGTACCCTGTCTGCACATCTTGTTTTCTATCTTCAAAGTTGGTTGATAGTCTGGCTGCATGCAGAATTATGGGCTAAAAATAATTTTCTGTCAGAAATTGGGAAGAGGCGGTCAGTTGTTTTGCTTCCAGTGTTGCTGTTGCAAAATCTGAAACCATTCTGATTCTTGATCCTTTTTCTTAGAGACCTACTTTCTTTCTTTACAAACTTGTAGTTATTAATGTCTCCATGTTGATGTTACCGGATTACTCAAGTGGGTCCTTTCAATCTGGAAACTTCAGACTGTGCTTCTTGATGGGGAACTTTTCTTGAATTATTTCACCAATAACCTCCCCTGCCCCATTTTCTCGGCTCTTTTTCAGGAACTGCTATTTAGCTGTTGGATTTTCTGAATTGATCCTCTGTCTTGCTTTTTTCATTCCTATTTTCTGTTTCCTTGTTACTTACATTTCTCAGTGGCTCTTCCAGCCCTTCACTGCACTTAAATTCCATAGTTCCCTAACCCACACCACCTCCCAACTTTAGCTCTAGGGAAAATATAAATGTTTCTTCTGGGACCTGAAGTGATAATTAAACTACCATCATATCTTTAGTAATTACCTCAGCACGTTTCCCATGCTAAACACAACCAACAAAACAATCAATCAATCTTCCTATAATCGCTTTCTCCTCCAACATTATTGGAATTCTTGAAAGAACAGGTGATGCTATTTTTACCCTGATTATCATAATCTACTTTCCTAACTAGATTTACCATCATTCCCAAGCTAGAAATAAGTATCTCCAATCCCTTATTCTTCTCTACCAACCATAACTTACCCACTGCAAGTCCTAAAAATTCTACCACTAACATTTATTGAAAGTGTCATCTCTACCATCACTACTCCTACTTAACATGAAATGATTTTCAAAACTATCTCCTAGACACTAGATATTTATTTACATTGTTCCCATATGACCCAGTAATTTCACTCCTAGGTATATAACCAAGAGAAATGAAACATGCTCATATAAAACCTTGTACAGAAATGTTCGTGGAAGTATTATTCCTAATAGCCCCAAAGTAAAGACAACCTAAATGTCTTATCAATTGATAAATGGGTAAATAAAATTTTGTATTACATACAATGGAATATTATTCAGCCATAAAAAGGAATAAAGTTCTCACACATGCTACAACATGGATGAACTTTGGCAATATCTGTGCTAAGTGAAAGAAGCCAGACACAAAAGGCCAAATATCATGATTCCATTTACATGAAACATCCAGAATAGGCAAATCCACAGAGACAGAAGGCAGATTAGTGGTTGCCAAGGGATTTGGGGAAGAAAGGGAATAGGGAGTGACTGCTTATGGGTATGGTGTTTCTTTTTGATGAAAATGTCCTAGAATTAAATGGTGATAGTGGAAATCCTGTGAATATACTAAAAACCAATGAATTTTACAGTTTAAGGTGAATTTTATGGTGTGTGAATTACATCTCAATTAACAACCATTAATTTTATAGTCTTAAAATCTCCAACAGGCAAATGTTCAGGACAGCTTCGCTGCTGAAGGTCATGCTGGGTCCGAAGACTGACAAAGCTAGGAGACTAGTCAAGGAGTTCCGCCTTGGACTCAGCAGGCTAGTGATGCATGGCTCTACTGAGCATCCACTTTACTCTCCTCTGGGTATATATTTTGCCTGATGCACAACACATATTTCTGTTGTAAAATTAAATGTATTTCTTACTGTATTAAAATGTCATCAACATTGTTGCTTGCCAATTATGGGTAACACTAGAAATTAAATTTCCAATAAGGACTTTGGCAAAGAAGCAAAATTCGAGGCCTTAGGTAAGAAAAGGTGGCCATATATATGCTAAATAAAAAACAATGAGGATGAGAGAAAGATATATCTCTACATCTTCACACACATTTAAACTGAAAAAGTGTGCACAAACTAATTTAATATTTGTAAAAACCAAGTACTGACTATCTTAGGTAAGCTGGCTAAAGCAGCTTGTGGCAGAGCCACTGAAGGTGAGAGAACATCCCCAGTGCTAGGAATAAAGCTGTGGACAGAACAAAGGCCCTGCCCTGTGGGAGTTTACTTTCTCGTAAGAAGAAGGGGAGAAAAAGCGAGGAACAATAAACACAGTTTATGCTGGGTGACTGTTTTATAGAAGAAGATTAAGAAGGACAAGGAGAGTGAAGACGATGCAGTGATTTGCTAATCTATAGAGCTATCAGGAAAGGCCTCTTTAGTGACATCTGAAAAGAGGCTTGAAAGTAATCAAGAAGCTACATGGATAGTTAGGTATTTAGACAGACATTTAGCATACTGACCACATGCATATAGAATGAGAAAACAGGAAGTTATTCCTTTGAAAGTGCCACAGATAGTAATTTACTAGGTAAATTATTAACTGGCACTGGTCTACATTAGACAAATAGTTTACATTATTTTAGTCAAAGCAGAATGCCGACCCAGATGAAAACTAACCACAGTTGGCTATTTGTCTACCTGCGTGTTCCACTCCCAGATAAAAGAACTATATCTATCTAGATTTTACCTTCTAGATTTCCATTCCCTTCTATTAATAATATAAGAGAAGGAAAATTTCCTCCACTTTTAATCCTGCCAGTGAAGAGAAAATAACTTGTAGGCAACCAAGCAACCCCATTTACAACACAACATAAACTGTCTAGAATAGCACAGATGCTTGGATTAGGTTCATTTTTTTACCTTTTAAAAAATAACACTCTGACCCCAAATAACTTTTCTGTACATACCCAAACTTCTTAAAAGCAGAGAATTGCAGTCTTCAGAAATGTAAGTACCACCAGAAGATACAAAGGGAAGAGCTAGGATAATCTCAGATATTCTCTATGAAAATGGTTCTTAATCTGGATTCCCAGAAAGTCTAGACAAAATGGTCAGTAACATCTAATTTGGAATAGCATAGAGGTCCTTCCCCCAGCCCCGCCTGAGTATCTTTAGGGGCAGAGGGGCCACCAATTCCTTCAGCTTTATATATAACTTTAAGTCATTTAAATTATCTGCTATGTCCCCCAGGTTTATATCTTCATAGTGTCCCTGAGATTTTCAAAGGGATTGCAAACACCAAAAAGGTGAAGTGCTACTCTGAAGAATGGTTCTGCATCTGCTCATTTACCCAAGTTAGCTAAACTCAAATTATGAAAGTCTTTAATCAAAAGATCAAGCCTGGGTTGGCAAATGTAGCTATAACACTTATTTCAGGTAGATTGTTATTAAAAATATTTAAGCTAGAAAGTAGAGACCTAAAAGACCAAAAAACAAAATAAAAAAACCAATCACACGAAACACAAGCCACAGACATAAATTACAAAAGGGAAAAAAGTGGCAAGCAGGGCTGGGCCTCTCTAGGGTAATTACATTAATGCAATCAGCCCCAAGGGGAAACAGTATTGTGTTGCGATCTATTGACAGTGTGAATAATGAAAAATGTGGTTAAAGAGTGATTTCAAAAGTATATCCTGTACTGATTACCAAAGTGTTCATTATAAAAGCATCTAAAAAATACTAGAGAGAGAGAAAAAGAATATTTTTAGCACCATTTCTAAATGGTACCATTTAGGGGCCGGTCACTACACATAACATGCTGCAGAAACAAATGGTTTCCATTTCATGTGTCACACTCCTGTCTCCATTACTGCGACAGAGCACCTTTCCTAAGTTGACACAATGCTATGTCGAGATTTGGAAGTAAAGTTTAATTTGAATCTTACCCACTTCATTAGCCAGAATTTAAGGCCGTCTACATTTTTCTGTGTGTTATACTCAAACACCCATGAACATAATGTTGAATGCTGTTTTAATTCACATAAGTCATTTTAACTGTTCAGTTTGAGCAGTGAAGGTCTACGGTGGTCAAATGTATGATTTTTCCATGGCACAAAAACTGTAGTGAGGGAAAATGTCACAGAATGTAGGTTTCCTGTACAGTGGAAACTCTAACTTTGTGAGCAAGGGTACGGGAAATGTTTGAATATATACTACATGTAAATTGACTGCTATTCCTGCCCTTGGGGATCTACAGTTTAGCAAACAAACCACTGGGGCAAATGTGTGCCATAGAGATAATGCAATACCAGGGTGCTTTCAGTGCAAGACAAATCACATCCACTTGGGAGGTGGGAAAATTGTAGACGTTTAAAAGGCTACTACTAAAAGGCAGTTTGATATTAACTTAAGGTTTACAAACTAAGAAGGCAGGGAAAGTATTCCAAGTACAAGGAACCACCATGAACAAAACAGAGACATTATCTGGGGGAAAGGCTGAGAAGTTACAGGAGAGTGTGGCAAGCCCTGTGGTCCTCAAGCTTTCCCTCTCCAACCCCTCAAAACAAACAAACAAACCCCACATACAATGGATATTACTATTTGCAAACACATCTCCAAGTGCTGGATTTGACTGGATGCCTCCCCACTTCCCCCAAATTTGCAGGCAAACGAAGCACCCAACAACCTGTTTAAAATTTTTTTTAACTTTAAAAGAAAGGGTTTATTGGGCCATTGCTAGCAAAAGAAAAAAAAAAAATTTGGTCTTGGGGTATGGAATCTAAACCATCTGCAGCATGGCTAGGTAGGAAAGTCAGTATGTCCATCTTCCTCCTGAGTGGGCTCCTATGGATTGGGAAGTACATGTGCAAATAAGAAGTGGAGGGAGGCTCCCAGGATTCTAAAGCACCAGGCTGTTCTCTCTTTTGAACAATCAGGGAAACAGCCACCTGGAAATTAATCCTAAATTCTAACAGATATACAGAAATGTGACCAGTCTTTTGTCAGAGTGGTTCCACAACTATTAATTAGCAGGCTGTTCTGTCTGTTTCTCTCACTCTCTGGAAGCTGTAATTTTAATTTAGAACATCTCAAAATTTTGTCAAATCTTTACTGGCAGGCCACAAACTATGTTATGTTAGCTCCTCTTGGAGTTAGCTCTTAACAGTTCTCCACTGAAGGGAGGGAGACAAGTGATTACTTTTTCACAAACTTGAGTATTTCAGTATTAGTAGTAACAGATGGATTAGAGTTAAGTAGTAATTAACAATTCAAGGAGTTAAACTGAGAATCTCAAAAGCCAGGCTGTGGAGTTTGCACTTAGGCTCCTTATTATTTTTATTCAAATTATTACCATATTTAAATTTCAATTTGCAGTTTGCTGAGGTTGCAAAACGAAGCAAAATCACAATATGAAATTATATGTTGGCTACTCTCTTCCAGATGAATATTATAAATACCATCTATTTTCAACCAAATGAAAGATATGGGCGCTCAGGTCATAAGCAAAGCATCTGATTGGCAAATGAAGGTTAGGCAGTTGGAACAGTTTAATCACTAGGTAGAGAAATCAACAAGGCACTCTGAAAGAAGTGGGAGAGGATCAGTGCTTGCAAAACTAATTTTATGGCCCTGGCCGGTTTGGTTCAGCAGTGAGAGCGTCAGCCTGTGGTCCCGAGAGGCCCGGGTTTGGTTCCCGCTAAGAGCACGTACCTCAGTTGCAGTTTGTCCCCTGCCCTGGTTGGGTTGTGCGGGTGGCAGCTACTCTGTTGATGTGTCCCTTTCACGTCGATGTTTCTCTCTCTCTCCCTCCCTCCCACTCTATCTGAACAAAAAATATATATATATAAAAAAAAAGTCCTCGGGTGAGGATAAAAACAAAACAAAACAAAAAACTAATTTTATGATTGCGTGTTCAAGTCAAAAATCAAATGCTTGGACATGTCTAAGATGCCACTCTACATTCTTTCAGAGTAATTGCATAGAAATTATCATAATGAACAGAGAATCAATCAATTAGTATAGGGTTTTTTTAAGGTAATTTTTTTTTAATCCTCACCTGAGGACACTTTTTCGTTTTTTTGTTCAGATAGTGGGAGGGGGAGAGAGAGAAACATCGACGTGAAAAGGACACATCGAGTGGCTGCCACCCGCACGATCCAACCAGGGCCGGGGACAAACTGCAACGGAGATACATGCTCTTAGCGGGAACCGAACCTGGGTATCTCTGGACCGCAGGCCGACACTCTAACTGCTGAGCCAAACCGGCCAGGGCTAAGGTAATGTTTTTATTAGCCATTCTTTTGTACCATTATGGTAAGATTTTGGCACCCATATCAAACGGATTCACTTTCAGTGAGCCCCCCCCCCCCCCAATTATCCTCAGATAATGAAGACTTCTGTACTTCGTACAGGATCGATGGAAAGGCACTGAAAGGTTTTCTTTTCTTGACAGGTATGGGTTGAATAAGAGTGAACTGACTGTTAATTACCCTTGGGGATTTTAATGGGTTACAGTGAAGAACTTCTTGGAATAGTACAGGCAATAGTTTGGCCTAGGGTGGTAGCGATAGCAAGAACAGATTGAATTCCTTGCAGATGAGCTTATTACTTTTCCTAGAACAGTTTCTGGGTAAGAGGTTTCCAAAGCTAATTCCAAGAAGGAGATGATCTTAAAAAACACTGGGACATCAGAAGGAGAAAGGGTTGCTGCACTGTCCAAATTTGGATTCATTGAGTTTGGGATGTTGGAAGGATTTCCAAATGGAGAAAACCAGCAGGTAGTTGGAAATATTAACATAGAAGGATTAGTCATGTTATGGCTTTAGAGAAGGAAATGTTTTTTTCATTAATTACATTATCTGTAATTGCACAGTAACACCCAATCATTTGGCCACCGACATTTTATTTTTGGCATGCACAAGAAAAAGCAACTATTTCCATTGTTGTAAAGGTTTTATTGAAGAAACTTAATGAATGTAAACACTTTATGGCTAAGTGAAGACAAACATGCGGCTAAAAAATTGTGAAAGTCACCTGGCTGGTGGCTCAGTGGTTGAGTGTCAACCCATGCACCAAGAGGTCGCCAGTTCGATTCCTGGTCAGGGCACATGCCCAGGTTGTGGGCCAAATCCCCAGTGAAGAGCATGCAGAAGGCAACCAATCAATGTTCTCTCATTGATGTTTCTATCTCTCTCTCTAAAATAAAATAAAGAAAAAAAAATAGTAAAAGTGAATTTTGTTGTATCCATTAAAAAGACTGGAGCATCTGCCCTGGCCAGTTTGGCTCAGCGGTTAGAGCGTTGGCCTGCGGTCCGGAGAGACCTGGGTTCGGTTCCCGCTAAGGGCACGTACTTTGATTGCAGTTTGTCCCCGACCCTGGTTGGTCGTGCGGGTGGCAGCCACTCGATGTGTCCCTTCACGTTGATGTTTCTCTCTCTCTCTCCCTTCCTCTCTCTCCCTTCCACTCTATCTGTACAAAAAATGGAAAAATATCCTCGAGTGAGGATAAAAAAAAAAAGACTGGAGCATCTGCTTGTAACGATTTATTTGATGCTGGTTAAATGTGTAACAAATTACGTTAAATCAACTGTGAGTAATACTAAAGTCAAGGAACAACCTCCACACTCAAGTTTCCCCGGGCGATTACTGTATTACTCCTCCCAGAATGACTGTTTTGGGTTTCTGTTTTCTCCTATACATCTATTTGTATTTTCATGAGAAAAATACCTTACACAAATTCACCCTGATCAATGCTAACATTTCCTTTGCTGTAACCTGTTTATTCCTAGGTCAATCCAAACGATATTTGAGAGACTGCCCTTCTGGCATGAGGTTACTATTAGTCTGGTATCATTCTCCTAACATATATGGAATATTGCTTCTTTTTCCCTCCTCAAAACAGAGAGGATTGCATAATCCTGGATCTCAGAAGTACTTATTTTGAACCACTATCGCTGCCCTGTCCCCCAACAAACACTGCAACATTATAATCTATTTACCTCAGCTTTGAAAATATCTTTAAAAGAAATGCTCCCAGTTAAAACACTTAGCCAGTAACATTTTTTGAGAAAAACAAAACATGAAACAATGTATATGCCCCAGGGGAAGAATTTCTAACGCCAGGTAGGCAGATAACCTAGTAAGTAGTCTAAGAATACCTTTTAAAGAGGCCTGTAGTCGGTTTCTTACTGTTCCTGTTCCAATTTAAAACCGCTTAGATGAACCAGTAAATTGAGCAGTTTTTAAGGAAACATCGAAAATGTGCGTCTTTAGCAAAGATGCCTGGGATAAGCCCAAGGCATGAAAGTAAGACGCACGGGCTAGGTTGAAAAGACGTCTCACAGCAGTTAGTCACTTCTCGCATTCTTTTAAAGAAACAAAAGCGATCTTCCTTAATACTCTATTTTCTGGTCGCCAACTGATATGTCATTCCGAAAGGAGTAGGGAAGATAAGCTGATGGAGGGGAGAGGAGGAGGGGAAAGTAATATAAGTTCGACTAGGATTCTGCCCGTCTTGTAATTCCAGCACGGCATGCACGCTGATAAAACCTGGATTTTCTAAGCTGCTACTTTTGCGGGGCTGGTGTAAATGAACTTGACGCTCAAAGAAGAAACTTCCCCCCTTCCTTCTATCCTCCCAGATTTACCTCTCCTTTCATACTTCAAAGTCCAGCTCCCCCGGGTCGTACAGATGGGATTCTTGCCCCATCTCTCATAACCTTCCCCCACGAAAAAAGCGGGTCATTCCCCTCCTCTTCGCGGATGCTTCAATCACTGCACTCAAATTAATATTTAACTGTGATGGTTCTTGATTTCCCTACTCTGAGCAGCCGAAACTCTTCTTAGTCCCTGGTTTCCCATGAACTTGACCCTCCTTCCCGCGCCTCCCCAGCAGCCGCCCTCACTGCCTGGGACGCGAGCGAGCCCAGTGCACACACCCGGAGATGCGCGCGTGGCTGCCCGCTCGCTCCGGACGCGCTCCCGCCCTTCTCCCCAAATAGACCTTGTCCGTGATTGGCCCGCGCCCAGTTACCTACTGCGAGGCGGGCGGCGAAGGGAAGAGTACGCCTTTGGGAAAGGGGGCGAAAGAAGAAAGCACGAACCTGAGGACGCAGTCTCCGGAGGTGCCGGTGCTACTGCAGGAGACACCCGCCCGCTCGCCGTTTTTATAAGGTGTGCTCATGCCCTCTCCCGGCACCCGTCGAACCCCCGCCGGGCACACAGCCTTGTTTGGTTACCTTCCGGGGCAGTGCGCGTCCAGCGCAGGAAGCAGGGCGTGCGCTTCTGGAAGTCTCAACACTTCCGGATTCCTCTCCGGGACCCGAACTCTGGCGTTTGTGTGTGCGACTGTGAATGTGCGCCGAAAGTACACCCCGCAGCTGTCCTCCTCTGCACCTTTCTGTCACTTCCTCCTTGCTTTATGGACCGGAAGGATCCTTGAGCCAAAGGAGCACGGCGGGCACTTCCGGAACTGGGCCAGTGGGTTCCGGGAGGTGCTGGACGGAGGGAGAGACGACGGCGGCAGCTGGAGGATGAAGAAAGAGCATGTGCTGCACTGTCAGTTCTCTGCATGGTACCCCCTGTTCCGAAGCCTTACCATCAAGAGGTAAGACGGCAGCGGTCTACGCCGGGGCAATGGTAAAAGGACACTGCGACATTTTGCGCAAATTCTTTCTCCATTAAAAAGAAAAGTAGGCCTTGTAACGACTGGATGGGAGCGCCAGGGCCGAGAGTTCGACTTCCTAGTGGTATTTCAGATGGGGAGATGAATGAAGTCGATCCATATTGGCATTGCATTGTGTTGCGTATCAGGGAGTGTGCCAGAGGAGGTAGAAGGTCAGAGGCTGGTGAGTAGTGGATTAAGCCAGTTTAGGCTTGGGAGTTCATCATTATTTTTAAATTACCAGAGAGGGGAGGTGATCAGGAGAACTGGGTAGTCCTGGTTTTGCCACCGTTAACTAACTCCTAACTCTCGGCGGGTGGGGGTGGGGGTGGCTTATTTGCCTTAAGTCATGGTAAAATAAGAACAGTGGTAACAGACCTACCTCAAATTCTATTGTGAAGCTCCAGGGTGACAATGTATATGGAAAGTATTTGTAAACTATAGTTACATATTGTTAGAGATGGTCATGCACCCCCAGAGGAAGCTATCTGGAAAAGTTGTGGAACAATATTTGTTTTCTAATTCTCTAGCCTACACTCAAGGAATCCATCTCCATTTTGCAGGGCGAGCATGGGATTAACTGTTTCATCCTTTACCCAGGAAATTCAGCTACTAGGCAAGGCAGCAAGGAGAATATCCCCCAAATGTTCAAAATCAGTCATACCATCTGGAGCACAATGCAAGGGTAGGCTTTCTTTCACCAAGAGGGCCAGATCAAAGAACTACATGTTCATGGATAGCATTTTCTCTATTTTGCCTACTCTCCCTTTAGGCCTAAATTGTCAGTTATTTAGATATCAACTGTCCCTTGCTCTTCATTCTGTCCTCTTGGTGCAGACAGTATGAATGCAGAGAGGGAAAACGTTTTGAAATCCTGAGGGACTGAAAGAGCATAAGGAGATTATTCAAGACAATTATTTTCCATGCTCTTATTCATACATAGACTCTGGTTCCAGTTACTCATGGTATAATGGAGGTTAGTTAGAGCAGGTCAAAGGAAGATAATTTTTGCATTTGAAGATGGTCAGAGTCACACCAAAACAAAAGGAAGAGCTTCAACAACAACAAACATTACTTGCTATCATAGAAGTAATCTTTCTATATGATATGCCAATCCTTCATTACCTTACATAAATTGAAACAGGCTGTGGGTCTGAGGTGATGATAGAGCTATTTGTGTTGGTATTTTTGTGAACCTGTCAGATACTTTCACACTGAGTTCACTTAAAACTGATATTTTTTTTCTGTGCAGTTTTTTTGCAACCTCTGGTGTACATTTTCTTTGCCTTTAGCAGTAAAATACAATAGTTAAGAATTAGACTCTGGAGTCAGGGCCATCTGCCCTGCTTTGAATTTTGGTTCCATCAGCATTTTGAGCAAGGTGCTTGTAATCTCTGTTAAGTTCCATCTGGAAAACTGAGACAGCAATAGGCTTATCATGGGCATTAAATGAGATAAAGCATTTAAAATGCTTGCCACTGTTTCTGGCATATAGTAAACAAATATGCTGCATATTGTTACATTTTGAATTTAATCAAAGCTCGATTGAAGCAAAATAACTCTAGTTCACTTAAAATGTGTAACATTCATATGAAGCTGAGAGAGTGAAACATAAACCAAGAAGTGGGATTTTCTGAACAGTCAATAGTTAAGCAGTTTCCTGAAACCATTCTGTACTCTGTTTACAAACTCTTCAGTGTAGTTACTTATGTGATGATATCAGTGAACCTAACAAATGGCAGGATACTCCTCTACAATCCAGGCCAGTCCGGTGGAATTGTTAGCTTTGTCATTGCCATTGTCAGCTTTAATGCTTAGAGACTATATTAAATTCTGGTTTTGCACTCAGCATTATTGTTTGGTGTTTATTCATTAGGTTAAGCAATGATTATGCAGGTAAGAATAGAAGTACATTTTTTTTTTGACAAGTTCTAGGACTTTGACTGAGGCTTAAGAACAATTAGCTAGAGGATTTTGAGCCATCCACTTTACCTTTTTTAATCTGTTTCTTTCTTCAAACATGAAAGTTATATTAATCTTGTAAAGGCCCCTTCTACCTCTAAAATTTTATTAGAGTAACTTGTCTGTATATAAAGAACTATATCAACCTGATGATGTAGGTACTTTGTCATTTAATTATTTTACATCTGCCATTTAAACCTCATTGGATTCTCGCCTGCATAATGGATTTCAATGACCAATTTAAGCTCTTTGAAAGCCTTATGTGTAAATAGTGCCTGGCAGTGACTTGTTTATGGCTTCAATCTTTTGGGCCTGGTTCCTTTCTCCTCTGAGTTTTGGTAACACTTGGTATATCTTGGCACAGCATTTCCCATATTGCACTGTGATATTTTTCTTTTATATTTTCCCCCTCATAGGCTTTGCATTCTTGTTTTATTTTTTATTTATTATTGATTTTAAAGAGAGAGGAAGGGAGCAGGAAAGAGAAACATCAATGTGAGAAAGAAATATCAATCAGTTGCCTCCTATATGCATTCCAACTGGGGATCAAATCCACAACCTGGGTATGTGCCCTGACCAGGAATCTAACCCAAGACCCTTTGGTGCACAGGACGACGTTCCAACCAACTGAGCCACACCGGCCAGGGCAGGCTTTGCATTCTTAATGGAATCACCTTAATCCTCCTTGACTTACATAACATATTGCAAGATGACGAAATAAGGATGACTTTAAAAATAACTGTAGAACTCAGTAACTTGTGAGAACTAAAATCCAATTTGATGTCACCTAATATCTATAAGAGTTGCAGATCCTCCAAATAGGAAGGAAGACTATGCAAATAATTCTGAGTAGAATTAAATAGTAAGTAGATATTTTGAATCTAATCAAGGGATGATACAACCTGGAGGGAAAGTCCAGATTCAAACCAGACTTGAGAATTAGTGTAACTCAAAAACAAATGACATGGACTCTGAAATCATCAATTTGGAGACTGAGAGACTTTATTGACATAAAAGAGGACTCTGTCTGCTCTCACTGTGATCAGAAAAATCACCCTAGATGTCTAGGAGCTTGTATTCCTGCCAGCATTTCTCAGTCACAGGCCCCTCAGAAGAAGATAAAACTTGAAAAGATTGTCTCTAATTCTCTTGGGATGTCATTGTACTTTAGTGGTTAAGTACCTTTAATCCCAGGAAGAACTAGAATCCAACTTGATGTCACCTAATATCTATAAGAGTTGTAGATCCTCCAAATAGGAAGAATAAATATAGAGGTGATGAAATAATTCAAACTTAAGAGTTTTATCTTTTTTTCTTTTTCTTTATTGATTTGAGAGAGAGAGAAACATTGATGGGAGAGAACATTGATTTGCCACCTACTGCATGGCCCCCACTGGGGATCGGGCCCACAGCCTGGGCATGTGCCCTGACCAGGAATCGAACCAGGGACCTTTTGGTGCATGGTTCGATGCTCAACCACAGCTACACCAGCCGGGCTTATCTTTTTTTCCTAAGTTTATTTAATATCTTTAAAAATTTGCCATTTTGAGGATAATTAGCGTATATGTAAAAGAGATTAGCCTTGTGATTCCAATTGAAATTGTGTAATTAGTTTACAATGGTGATACATTAAACTGTATAAGAAAAATTGTCAAGTTTTTAAATAGTATTGGAATGCTTCCAAGAACCTTCAATTCACTATACTTACAGGTTAATTTGCTGGCTTCATAAGAGTTAAATAACTGGGAAGGCTTATTTAGACAGTTGAAGTACAGGGGTGGGTAGGTTTACAGTTGTGAGTACACAAAACATAGAGTTTATTCTTGTATTATTTATTTATTATTGTATTATTTATTTGTATTACAACTGTTAACCTACTTTCCCTACCCCTGTATTTAAAAAGAAAATTGAATAGATTATTTTTATAATAGAATTAAGACCTTTTTTTTTTTTTATCCTCACCCGAGAACATTTTTCCATTTTTTGTTCAGATAGAGTGGGAGAGAGAGAGAGAGAGAGAGAGAGAATCATCAATGTGAAAGGGACACATCGAGTGGTTGCCAGCCGCATGACCCAACCAGGGCCAGGGACTGTAACCGAGGTAGGTGCCTTTAACGGGAACCAAACCCGGGTCTCTCTGGACTGCAGGCTGACGCTCTAACCGCTGAGCCAAACTGGTCAGGGCTAGAGTTAAAACTTTTAAAGCAACTTTTAAGTTTCAGAGACTTAGGTTTATAAATACATTAATAAGTTTTGGTAGTTGAACTTTTATATATATACACACACACACACACACACATATATTTTTTTCTTTTTTTTTTTTTCTGGTACGTGCCACTAGCAGGAACCAAACCCCAGACTCTGGTCTGCAAGCCGACACTCCAACCACTGAGCCAAACCGACCAGGGCTGGTAATTGAACTTTTATAAAAGTGTAAAGAACTAGGCTTTTGAATGTGAAATTGTAACTTCGATAAATTAGATATTAATTTTTTTTCCCATTTATCTTTAGATAGAGTGGGAGGGAGGGGGAGAGAGGGAGAGAGAGAAATATCGATGTGAGAGAGACATACTGACTGGTCACCTCTTGCACGACCCTGACCAGG